CCCGGCGGACGAGTCTAGCGCGCCCTACAAATCGGCGATGGTGTGTTCGGCAGCTGCGAGGCGGGCGGTTAAGTCGCTTTCGCCCGCGGCCGCCCCGCCGCTGCGCGCCCTCGCGTCCAGCTCCTTCTCCCGCGCCTCGAGCTCAGCGGCCCGCTGGTTCAGCGCGGCCCTCTCGGCGCGGGCACCTTCCAGATTACGGCGCGCTTGTTCCTCTTGCGCAGCCTCGCGGAGGACAGGCTGTCCGCCAGCCGTTGCGCCGCGGCCTCGGCCTCCTCGAGAGCTCGCTCCCGCTCGGTGAGCGCGTCCTCGCGGAGGCGGAGCGCGGACTCTTCTTCGGCACAGGCGGCTTCGTGCACCGCCAGTGTGACCTCCCGAATAGCAACGGCGGCCTCGCGATCCGCCAGGTCCCTCTCCACGGCGCAGGCACGCTCTTCCAGCGCCATGGCACGGGCCTCAAGGGCTTCTTCGCGCCGCCGGGATGCCACCTCGGTCTCCGCCGCCCGCCGTTCTCGGGCAGCGGCAGCGTCAAGGACCCCCCGGGCGGCGTCGAGCTTTTTCCCTAGCTCCGCCTCCCAGCTCCCGTATTGAAGGCGGAGGGTGTCCTGCGCCTCATTCATCACAGTGGTGGCGATGAGGGCAGCCCCCCGCTCCTCCTCCACCTCCTTGGCGATCTCCCCCAGCACCTTCCGACGGGCTTCGAGCTCTGAGACGTGCCGGCGGTGTGCCTTGCGGCCCACCTCCACCATGGCCTCCACCGAGCGACGCCCCTCTTCGACACGTGCCCATGCGGCGTCGAGCTCCACCCGCTCTGCTTGCAAGGCCTCCATCTGGGCACTTAACCCGTCCAACACCGTGGTGTTAGCGACGGCCAAGGCCTGCAGAAGAGGTTCTGCGCTCAGTGGAGCAACGGAAGGCGTGGGGAAGAGCCGCCTCGAAGAGGATGCCGCGCGGCTTGGCCCGCCGATGGACGTGCCGGACTCGGGGATGTCCCCCGGACCTGGTTTGTCCTGAGCGTCGCACGAGGGAGTGAGCCCAAGTGATGCGCCCGCGGCCTCGTCGCGAGCTGCTTCGGAAGTCGTCGTCGCCTCGGCCTGGCGAAGTCTGGCCTCCTCCCGAGCGGCTTCTTCAGCTTGGCGAGCTCGGACGGCCACCTGGGCGGCCTCCTCGGCTTCCCGTAGGCGATCCGCGGCTTCTCGCCGGTCAGATTCCCGCCTCCGAGCCTCTGTGGTCGCCGGGTCCTCGGCCTCAGACTGGCCGGACTTGGAATGGCGGGAGGGACGCAACGGGATCTCGCTGAAACAGAAGAAAGACCAGAAGACAAACAAGATGGATGAGTGAAAACTCGCGTTGAGGGAATGAATACGGCCACGATGGGCGTGGGACGAACCTGCGAGGGGGTCGGTTAAACGACCACCTTGGAGGGGAAATGAGGTTTCCCCGGGATGGTTCTGTCCCCCCCATCTTGCGGGGCCGTTTCTTCTTCCGCTCCCCCTCGAGCTGCGACGTCGGCGTGGCCCCCTCCGGGCGCCTGCTGCTGGCACGCGCCGCCCCGCCCCCTCGGGGAGGAGATGGGGGAGGGGTTCCTTCCTGGTTCCTCTTCCCCCGGGCGTCGGCAGGGCGGCCGCTCCCCGGGCCCCCGTCGCGGGGCCCAGAAGCACGACCCCCTCCCGGGGTAGATTGTTCCCCCCTGCGGCTCCCGCCCGCGCCATCGTGGCCTCGAGGAGCCCGCTCCTCCGACGCCCCGACCGCCTGCATGATGGTCAGGATGGAGGCGCGGTCTGGATCGCTGCAGAGGGGGACGACTCCTTGAGGAATGAGGGATGCCTCCACGGAGCTGAGATTCAGCACCCGTTGGACCACTATCTTGAAGTCCTCAGGAGCCCAGTCTCATCTGACTCCCTGGTGGGTCCTCATACAGTCCTCGGACCCAGTGTACTCCCAGGCGCCCCGGGCGCGCCGCTGGAGTGGCGCGATCCGGCGACGAAGATAGTCGCCGAACACCATGGCCCCTGTGAGCCCCTGGGATCGCAGGCCCGCCAGGCGGTCGAGGACGGCGTCGTAGCCATCTCCCAGATCTACCGGCGCCCGCCAGTTGGAGGCCTGCGCTGGAGGCTGGCTCGGAAGTCGGAGGCGCGCTTCGTCGGCGAGGGGGGTGTAGAACCAGTCGCTCTTCCAGTCATCCCACTTCTTGCGGAGGACGCAGGGAATGTAGCGGTTCAGCACCGGCCCCCGCGGCTGGAAGTAGCAGCCACCAACCACCGACGGCGGCGACACCGGCTGTACGGTGAAGAACCACCGGAACAGCCGAAGGGATGGGCGCACCCCGATGAACATCTCGCACAGGTGCGCGAAGATGGCCAATGTCATTACCGCGTTGGGGGTGAGGTGCGCCATCTGGAGATCGTAAAACTCCAGAACATCCATGAAGAAAGAAGAAAATGGCGGAACCAGCCCTGCCATAGCAAAAGGGAGGAAGAAGACGGACCGCCCCGGGTAGCGTGGCGCCGGGCATCCCTCGCCCAGCGAGACTATCTCCCGGCTGGTGGCAGATTCCGGCATGAAGCGGCGCGGCAGCCCGGCCTGTCTCTCGCTCACGATGCGGGAAGGCGGCAGCACGCTACCGTCAAGCGGAGCGGAGCCCCGTGCCATGACGCCGGAAGAAGAGATGTTTGAGAGCGAGCGCGTGTGGCGAAGGTAGGGCACAGGAAACAAGGAGTTAGGGCACAAGCGGCGAAGACAAGGGGAATAATGGCGAGAGGAAGGAAGCAAATCTCTTCCTCGGCGACTTTATACCCTTGCCAACGCTATGCCCGGCTCCTCGTTTCTCGCGCCCACTATCTGCCCCCTCGTTTCTCGCGCCCACGCTTCCACTAATCCCATTCGCCCGTTTGCGGTGCATGAGGTGGATATGCGGCTGTGGCAGTCGAGATGGAACATCTCGTGCGCGCGTTAATTACGCTCGCCGACCGAAGCGCCATCACCATATCTCCAGGCAAAACGAACCGGCTCGTCCCGATTCGCGTGTTACTCGAGTAATGTGGCAGTCTTGAAGAGACCGCTCATTATTGACAGCCGAGTAACCATTGCCGATGTGCGTGATTTGCGACCGTTGGGTTTCTGCCCAACTGTGGAGACCGGTCCCACCTGTCACCAGGCCTTAGGAAGTGGCGTCACGCCCGACCGCTTCCCTCGAGGAGGGCGATCGCCCTGGCATAACGCCGGGGGCTACTGTCGGTGACATGGGACCGGGAGTATCATGACTAGAGGTTTGGGCAGGAGCAATCGCCCACGAGGCCTGACCCCCTCGGGGGGGTCGGGCCCGAGGGTGATGTAGCCGCCCCCCTCTTTGTCCCCCGAGGGGTCGGACCGCTCCCGTTTCGGCCCCGAGGGCTGGGGCGCCCCGACCCCTTGTGGATTTTGCGCCGCGTGTATGGGTTAGGTGAGCGCAGCGGCGCTCACCTAACCGCATTTATTGCGGTTTGGACGAGCGCGTCACGCCGCATGTATCGCAGTGCAGCGCGCTTGTTCATCCGATCTGTGATCAGTCACAGACCGGTCAGATCGTGGGTTAGGTGGCGACAGGTGGTCTGACGCACGCCTCGCCCCATCCCGTTAGGACGAGAGCCTCCAAGCACTCGTCCCTAGCCGGAGCCGGCGTGTTAGCTCCTGGAGATGGCACGTTGGTTCCGGTCAGATATATGCCAGGCTTCATCCTAACCATTACAGACAAGATATTGTATGAAGAAGGGCGAACATGCAGATTGTTAAACTGACACGTGGTGGACAAGAATGACCGATTTGTGACCGGTCTGACAATGGTCATGTCGTCAGCAGACAGCCATGTTCCCACGTCGCGCCTGCTTCCGGCGGAAGTGGAGGTAGGTATGGGCCGTCCCATCAGAAGGTCATTCGGACAGCAGCCATACAAATCTCCGTCCATTAATGAAGAGAAGTCAAGTTGGAAGGAAGAGAGGATGAGTCCCCACACAAAAGAAAGAGAGAGAGATGGTGCATGTGGTATCCCCTTGAGGTATAAAAGGAGGACCTTGCCCACTTAGAAAGGGGGGATGATTTTTAGGAGAAAAACGATCCCGGAACGATTGGGGGCGGGCTCGCACTTTGTAGCTTCTTCATACACAGATCCACCAAAACACAGGAGTAGGGTATTACGCTTCTCAGCGGCCCGAACCTGTATACATCGCCCGTGTCTTGTGTGTTTCCACTCTCGCGAACCTTCCACACTCAGACCAGGAGCTTAGAATCTCACCCAGGGCCCCCGGCCGAACCGGCAAAGGGGGGCCTGCGCGGTCTCCCGGTGAGGAGCCCCACGCTCCGTCAAAACTGATGGGTGAAAAATTCATGGAAAAATAGGGTGAGAAACCATGGGATTGCTGGTTGTTTGTGTTTTGAAAACTATGGGGTTGTTGGTTGGTTGGGTTTTGAGGATCTGAACTTGAGATTGCAGAGTTCAAAAATTTTGTAAAACTAGATGTGGAGTTGTTGTCCATATTTGAGGGTCAAATTTGTGGAGAAATGTATGTGAATCAATCTATGTAAACTTGTGTATATATAGCAGAACACAACGCCCCAACGGCTAGCTAGGTTTTACAACGGTAACATGCCAACAAATATTATTTAAATGCCTTCTGTTCGACCTCCAAACTCAATTTGATTTTTGCTCTGACACGGCTCTGACACATACCAGCCGACTCCCACTATGTGGTTGGTTCGGTTTTTTTTTGGTCTCTAAATCGATTTCAACGACACACTACAGATGCTCTAAACCATCAGTGCTAGAGTGGTAGGTTGTCGTCTTGTCGATGTCTGCAATAAACCATGGCAAGCGACCTGGCTTTGGCGGCTCTGGTCGGAGGTCATTGCAGTGAGGAAGGAGAAAGATGCATTGGAGCAATAGGTGTCGTAGCAGCAGAGGCCGACACACACCCCTTGTCACTGTGACCCCGAATTTTAAAAGTTTTTGTTATAGAAACTAAAACTCATTTACTTAAATCATGTAATTCAAATAGTCGCATTCAAAACAAAACTATTACTCAGGCTCTGTTTAGATCCAAACTTCGAACTTTTTCCATCATATCAATCTGTTATACACACACAACTCTTCAGTCACATCGTACCAATTTCAAACTAAATTTCCAACTTTGTAAGCAACTAAACAAAGCCTCACACACAAAGTTTGAAGCCCTTTTATTTAAGGTCCGGCGTGAGCGGTGCGGTCGAATTTTATTAAGCCAAAGAAAGTTTAACAGGAGATTGAATCATATACCCTCCACATTTAGATTGAAAAATGAGGGTATATGATTAATTTTTACCTTTCGGAACATGGCGTTCTTCGATCATCTTGTGATATGATCAACGAAGTCCTCAAGATCATTGCGCGATGAACGGACGGCATGGCCGAGGGCCTTCGCGCGCTGCCGCACCGCCAACCCTTCTTCAGATGCCATCATCTTTTCGATCACCGCTTGTATGGTTGTCGCCGGCACCACCTCACCGTGCTTCTCCCATGGCCTTACCAAGAATCCGGCCTTGAGGTAGTTGCACACCAGCTCCGCGTCCCACGGCTGGTCCGAGTGCATGGGCCACGCCAGAATCGGCTTCCCGTGGCTCAGGCTCTCCATGGTGGAGTTCCAGCCGCAGTGGCTCATGAACGCCGCCGTGGCGCCGTGCGCCAGGATCTCCAGCTGCGGCGCCCACCCGGTGATCACCAGGCCCGTGCCTTCGGTTTCCTTGCAGAACTCGGACAGAAGCTTGGCGTACCGGCTCTCGCTCTCGCCGGAGCCCGCGAATATGTTGCCGCGGTCGGCGTCGCGCAGCACCCAGATGAACCGCTGCTTGCTGCCGCGCAGTGCCGCGGCGAGCTCCGCGACCTGCTCCACCCGAAGAGAGGACGTCGTGCCGAACGACACGTAGAGCACGGATTCCGGTGGCTGCCTGTCGAGCCAGTCAAGGCACTCGTGTCGCCGCCGGCCCTGCTTCAATGCGCCCGTGTCGAGCAGTGGGTTTAACGGCCCGATCGCGAAGAGCTTCTTGCTGCTGGCATCCAATCTCTCGGCGAAAACGTCGATGAATTCACCCTCGAGCGCGCGGCACGCGTTCGCGAGGATGCCGGCGCAGGACGAGATCGACTGCGCCGCTCTTGCTCGCTGTTGCTCGTAGTCCATGAACTCCTTGGTCAAGTAGGTATCCATGGGAATGAAGCGGAGGCCGTTCTCGCGCAGGAGCCGGTGCCCGGGGTCGATGCTCCCGGTGGCGGACGACACGGCTACGCAGTTACACACGAATGCCTCGCCGTTGGGCAGCCGCGCCGCCTCCTTGACGGCGAAGGAGTTCATGATGTCGCAGATGACGACGACCCGGCGGTAGGACGCGGACAGCTCGCCAAGGAGCGCCGAGAGCGGGGCGCGCGCGTCCGCGGTGTACGCCTCCCAGAGGGGCATGAGGTGGGAGGGGAAGGGCGCGTCGGCGGTGGGATCGGGTGGCGGAGAGACGTACGTGGAGACGCCGAGGTCGTGGAACTGGACGGAGAGGAGGGCCTTGTCGTCCCAGCCGTGCACGCGCGCCCGCGCCTGGCGGAGCTGCGGCGCCGGCGCAGCGTAGTGCACCGTGAGCCCGTGCGACGACGACGCGAGCTGCAGCGACAGGTGCAGGAGCTGGTTGAGGTGGCCCTGCGCCGGGAACGGCACGGCCACGATGGCGACCGCATCCGCTGGGTTTCCCTTCGCTGCCATTGTCGGCGTCGTCCGAGTGGGAGAGCAAGTAAAATGCCTGAATTGGCTGGATGATGATTTGCTGACTGCAGAAGTATGCGGGCGTACAGCTATAAATTGTGCTTGGTGGTGACCGGTGATAACAAAGATTGGAATTGGCTACTACCCCATACTAGCTAGCCAACAAATCGTGGATCCACATGATACTTGCGATTCATTGAGCCCGGCTGGCGGATGCAACCACGCAACTTCGGCAGTGTCTCGTTGGCAGTAGTGCCTGTCCAGTGTAGTAGTAGGCTAGTAGAAGTAGCCAAGCGCAAAGTTATGGTGCTTTTTTTTAACGAAAAGCTTTTTCCCCCCGGTTTCTCCGATTAAACGGAAGTCGCACAAACGCACGGTAGGCATACCACACGGCTGTGTTCGTTCCACCTGGTTCCCAACCTCTCTCATTCGTTTTCCGCGTACGTTTTTCAAACGGCTAAACGTTGCATTTTTTACAAAATATTTATATACGAAAGTTGCTTAAAAAATTATATTGATCCAATTTTTTAAGCAAATATTTAATTAATCACGTGCTAATAGACCGCTCTATTTTTCCGTGCTTGGAGGGTACCGTTCCCAACCAGGGAAACGAACGCAGCCTTAGGCCTGGTTTAGTTCCCTAAATTTTTTTCTCAAAAACATCACATCGAATCATTGAACACATACATAGAGCATTAAATATAGATTAAAAAAACTAATTGCACAGTTAGGAGGAAATCGTGAGACAAATCTTTTGAGCCTAATTAGTTCATGATTAGCCATACGTACTACAGTAACCCACATGTGTTTGTGTTAATGATGGATTAATTAGGCTCAAAAGATTCGTCTCGCGGTTTCCAGACTAGTTATGAAATTAGTTTTTTCATTCGTGTCTAAAAAATTATCTTTTCACGAACTAAACAGCCCGTTACACACCTGCGTGCCCCCCCCCCCCCTCCCTCCTCCCCCTAAAAAAACACAAGTACAAAGAGATGAAAACCAATGGGTATATCCTTGTTCTAACTCATGTAATATTTGTGGGTAAGAGAATATATGAATATGAATGAATCATAGTGGCTGAAGTTACGCACAAGTGACTGGACAATCATACCACCGATGCTTTAGAATGAAAAATAATTATAGGGAAATAAAGCATGGAAAGTTGACATAAATGATTTTAGACTCTTAGGGGATGTCACCTATTTTCTTGGATGTCATCTAAATAATTATTTTTAATAAAAAATAATAAGTGTCAGGGTTACGGATAAGGTATACCCTCTACCCTTGGATGTATGCTATACGGCAATGCGGTATATCGGTGCATATACGGATGTTCTCTGAATACGCTAAGGAAGTCCATCACGAAGTCTGCCAATGAAAAGGTTCCTACCCGTATAGGACTGGGTTGTTACTATATCGTGCAGGGTCCGATGTCTCCGAGTCCTACTTGGAGACCGCCTGACCTGCGATATAAAAGGGAACCCCCGGGGGACCTAAGGGATCGAATCTCATAGCCTACACAACGACCACAGCCTACGAAGCCGAAGACTATAGTAGCCAAGTCACCGGGTGATCTAGTCGAATCAACTCGACTACGATCTCGTCGGTACCACTGAGTTCTACTATTCCCTTTGTAATCTGTGGTTATTTCCATATAATCCCATATCAACTGGATTAGGGCTATTACCTGCTAAGGGGCCTGAACCAGTATAATCTTTGTCTCTTGTTTCCTTGATGTCGTACTACGTAGATCCTCGTACCAGCGTACCCCAATACCCTCTATATCTGGCCTACCGGTACCCACCGTCGACAGTGGCGCGCCAGGTAGGGGGACTTGGTGCTCAAGGTTCTACTACTATGACATCGAGCTTCGTCGACAACAGAGTCAACACCGGCCCCATCCAAGGAATCCCTGCTTCAACAATGCTGGTGTCGACTCAAGTCAGCGAAATCGTCTTCCTGGTTTACACCACGGTGCCAATCTCGGCTGGTCCATCAATAACCGGAACTCAGGTACTCAAGTCGACCATGTCGAGGCTCCGCTTGTCGCATTGGACCGCCAGCTTCGCGTTCCCTTAGATAGTGATTGTTCCCTTCGACCCGGGCATCTTGAGTACCTGATACGCGTAGTGAGATGCGGCCATGAACTTCGCGAGTGGCGTTCTTCTGATGATCCCTTACCCAGACGACACCTAGCGTTGAAACCTATCCTCATGTCTCTTTACACCGTCTTGACAAGGCCTCCGAAGAACCTAAGTGAACTTCGGCTGGGGACGCCCAGAGCTGATAAGGCCTTGTTGGATCCTTCAGAGACGAAAGACCATGTAAGATCTGGTCGTGTAAGAGTTCTCGCCGTGCGTATTAACCAAGCCGTGTAATCGGAAATGGATTTTTCCAACTTCACGGCTAGGGGCTAGGATCAGTGCTTATTCAACTAAGGCAAGTCGAGAGTCCAAGAGCCTTATCTTTCGAGAGGAGTTCTCCGACGACAAGGCTGGGGGCTAGGGAGAGTGTATAACTCAAGTGACTGATCGAAGTCGAGAAGTGAGAAGACACTCGTGCACACCGCATCCAACGTAAGAAAGCTTAGTTAGATAGATTTCCTTTCTATTTCACAAGCATTCCTTACAGATCGCAAAGAATTCCAGAATATATTACTTTTTTCTTAAGATGTTTGTCACAAATATATAGGCACTACCAGGAAGGCCAACGCCAATCCATTGACTGGAAGATCTTCTCCGCTAGCGGAGCCATCGACTTCGCTAGGTCGTCTATCTCCGCAAGATTCCTCCGAGAACGGGAAAACCCTTCGTGAAGGAACTCGAGGTGCAACTGCGGACGATGATCTCGTATACACGCCAGCACGTGCCCTCCGGCGTATCGGCTCGATCGATGACAATCCTGCTTCAGGGCCTCGTCGATATGCCCGCCGATGCCTTCAAGCTGAGCACAAGCCCCGTTCAGCCACGAGATGTAGCCAGCCGCTGATTCCTCGGGATCCCCGCGAGGTACTCGGAAGCTCTCTGCAGACAACGGCCATGGTTGTGCAACAACTCCTAAGGTACGAGTTGAACCATACCTTGCGACCTTGGAGCGCCTCCAGAGCCCGGCCCCTCTTCACCTCCAATATAGTCCTCTCAAGTTCGGCGACCTCGAACTTCGTCCTCCAATACTGGATGCGACGGTCGCGATCAGCAAGCATACTCTCGAGGTCTGCTCAACATGCAAACACCTAAGTCAAGCTAACCTAAGTCAAGCTAATCAAGACAGACGAGGTAAAGGAAAGGGAACCGTCAAGAACCAACCTAAAGAAGTCGACGCCACGTCCGTCTCCTCGGGCAGATCCTGGTCTATGCCGTCCCACGGCACGTACGGCTCGAGCTCAAGTGCCAGAGCGTATAGGCAATTCAGGCTGCCCGCGCTGCTGGACATCCTCGACATCGACATCTCTACAAACAACAGACAAAGTACCCGGAATCAAAACGCCAAAGAAAACTAAGGCAACGATTGCACACACAAAAGTAGTCGGAACCAACGAAAAGTTTTACAAAGCGCGATTGGTTAAGGGGTACAGGCAAGCGGCGGCCTTACTCTTCAAAAAGCGGGAGGACGGACTCCCCCAGATCGCTGACTTCTTCCATCACATCCTTGCGCGCGTCGCTAGCCGCCCCCTGATCCAGGATCTTCTGAAGATCGAGTTTAGGATACGCCAGCCTCACACACGCAAGGACATGGCACGCCCCGGTATAGCTCCCGTTGGACATCTCCTCTCCGATCCTGGCCGCGTGCTTGGAGGGGATCGCCTCCATCACCATCGCCAGTTCCGCAAATGAAGTCGTCAGCGAGAACTCGTTGGGATTCGTCGGGATGGTGGTCTTGATGCCGCACTCCCCGGCGAGCTGGTGCAGACCAGTATAGGTGACCCGCAGCGAGCCACGGATTTCCGACAAGTTGTTCTCGAGCTCCGACATACGGTGCTCGAGCCCTTGCCGTTGTCGCTCATTGCTGGCCACCAGCTCCCTCATCTTCTGGAGGTCCTCGCGAACCTCCGCCAAGTCGCGCGTTAGCCTGTCGGCGCGCTCATTCGCCGCCGCCGCCGCCGCCGCCCTCGCCTCCGCGATCTCGCGACTAATGCCGCAGGCACCAGCCTCGAGGATGCGCCCCATCTCGACCTGGAGCTCCACCCAGGTGAGGGAGGCAGCCGGCGGGCCTTGACCAGCCGCGATATCGCTAGCCGGGCCGCTGGGCGTCACCTCACGGCTCCTGGGCACGACCACGACCTCGGTTGAGGCCACTGCAGGAGACACGCTGGAGTTTGCTCCAGACCCATCTTGCGCCGCCTTCGCCCGCGCCCTACGAAAGATGGCCATGTCGGTCATCGCAACAAGACGATAAAATCTGATTAAGTCAAGAGCCTCAAATTTCGTCCACTTACTTCTCGCCGAGTGTCACCAGCCTCTGCCGTCGCGGAGGCGGGGGAGACGCATCCGAGGCCTAAGTAAACCGAGTACGACATGAGGACGACATTCTCCGACTACGTAAATAAATGACCTAGGAAGCTTACCGATGGAGTGGGCGTCTTCCGGCGGTTGCCAAGCACAGAGGAAAATTTCCTCCCCGTCTTCGGAACCTTGCCGCCGCTGGTCGTTGCAGCAGCAGCGGCAACAGCCGCATCGGACGCCTCCCGGGCAATGTTCTCCCGCAACGAGGCCGCCGTCTGATGGTCCACGAGCGGCCCGATAACGTCAGTCAGGGGGAGAGCCTGCGCAACATGAAGTCACGATGCGGTCTAAGAGTTGAAAGGGAAAGGATCGTTGACTACACTCACGTTGATCGCGGCTTCACGCTCAGCCGCCTCCCTCTCGCAAAGAGGGGTGGGGACGTTGCTCGCCGTCGTGGGACCGCTGATCATCACCTGGGCAACACGGTGCTCCACGGTTGCGCCGCTCAGACCTGCAGATCGAGAACCAAGTTTCGACAAGTCAGGAGGAATGCACATAAAGGGAGAGGAACCTAAAATACAAGAAAAATACCCCGAGGAGAAACCCGGGTCGTGTCCTCCGGCCCAGAGTAGTCAAAGGCTGGGTGGACTCGAGCCTAGAGCGGCTGGATCTGTCTACCAACGAAGTCGGCAGCGACTTCATACCCTGACAACCCCCGTACTCGGAGGTCATCAATGATATCGATGAAAGATTGGAGGGATGGGGTCAAGGTGGGTTTGGTAGTCCAAGATGGAGTCTTGTCTGGTTGCTCCTCAGGAACAATGAAGACTGGGTCCGAATCTTTTATCTGAAGATAGAACCACCTCCCCCGGCATTTGCTGCGAGATGAGGGGCACTGGAAGGGGATGTATCGCGACTTCAGGCCATCCCGAAGTCGGAAACCAACACATTCGGACACCTTTTTAGGTTCCATCCAGCGCAACTCATAGTAAAAGCGGAAGAGGTCGAGAAACGGCTCTACCCCAATGTAGGCCTAACAGATATGAGAGAAAATGCTAAGAAAGGCTATGGAGTTGGGGTTCAGATGAAGCAGAGAGAGACCGTAGAAGTTCAAGATGAGAAGAAAAAACTCGGAAGGCAGGGGAAGAAAACCACAGAGAATGTAGTCCTCAACCGCAACCATGCGGCCCAGGACGGGTTCAGGCTCAGTACCTCCCGGTTCCCTCTCCATGGTCCCGCGACCGGGGAGAGCGCCCTCCTCTTGCAATTTCTTCAAGGACGCGCGGCTGGAGGTGGACTTGTCAAGATCCATTGCCGAGGGGGATCGCCGGAGAAGAAGCCGAAGCAGGCGAACTTAGGGTTTGTGTGGGAGCGGAGAAGACAAAGAGCGTTTGGAGGCAAGAAATTTCTCACAACCGCCGGACTCCAAAATGTATTTCCAAAACGCCCTTAAATAGGCGCACTACCGATGGTGCGAATTCCAAGGAAAGAAGAGAGATGGCCGCCGGAGATTTCTGGGTCCGTTGCGCGAGGCGGTGTGACATCCCGGCCTAGGGCTTAATAGGATTACTAGAATACTCATATCAACAAGTTGCAACTTCTTTTCCGGAAGCCAATCTCTAAAGAACTCCAGGGTTAAGCGTGCTTGGTTTGGAGCAATTTGGGATGGGTGACTGACCGGGATCCTGGGTGCGCACGAGTGAGGACAAAATGTGTAGAAAAGACTTGTGTTGGTCTGTGAGGGCAGTCTATGACTTATGAAAGCTGCCAGATGTAAGCGGGCCCGGCCTGGGAGAGGTGGGGCGTTAAAAAGTGGTATCAGAGCCGACTCTTGCGGTTTCACGGACACATGTGTCACAGTTGCGCAGGCATGGTGCGCATGGCTGGTGTGGACCAGGAGTAGTCACACAGCATGGCATATACGCTGTCACTGGACACACGGACGTTGCCAAGAGAGGACGTTCCTGGCCTGGGGAGTTGATCGACGGGGGCGTCGATCTCTTTTAAGGGGGTGAGGATGTAACATCCCGGCCTAGGACTTAATAGGATTACTAGAATACTCATATGCAACTTCTTTTCCGGAAGCCAATCTCTAAAGAACTCCAGGATTAAGCGTGTTTGGCTTGGAGCAATTTGGGATGGGTGACCGACCGGGATCCTGGGTGCGCACGAGTGAGGACAAAGTGTGAGCAATTTGGGATGGGTGACCGACCGGGATCCTGAGTGCGCACGAGTGGGGACAAAGTGTGCAGAAAAGACTTGTGTTGGTCTGTGAGGGCAGTCTATGACCTATGAAAGCTGCCAGATGTAAGCGGGCCCGGCCTGGGAGAGGCGGGGCGTTACAGGCGGTTTATTGGACTTCAATTTAAATTCACTCATAACCGTTGGACTTCGCATGGTGTTGTCGAACACTCTTTGTCTCTACGGTCCTCACACCGAGATCGACCAGTTGAGAACGACAACAATTTCGACATCAGAAGTCGCGATTGGTTACATGAGTTCATTTAAGTAGAAGTCGGGGGCTACTGTCAGGGTTACGGATAAGGTATACCCTCTACCCTTGGATGTGTGCTATACGGCAATGCGGTATATCGGTGCATATACGGACGTTCTCTGAATATGCTAAGGAAGTCCATCACGAAGTCTGCCAATGGAAAGGTTCTTACCCGTATAGGACTGGGTCGTTAATATATCGTGCAGGGTCCGATGTCTCCGAGTCCTACTTAAAGACCGCCTGACCTGCGATATAAAAGGGACCCCCCGGGGGGACCTAAGGGGTCGAATCTCATAGCCTACACAACGTCCACAACCTACGAAGCCGAAGACTATAGGAGCCAAGTCGCCGGGTGATCTAGTCGAATCAACTCGACTACGATCTCATCGGTACCACTGAGTTCTACTATTCCCTTTGTAATCTGTGGTTATTTCCATATAATCCCATATCAACTGGATTAGGGCTATTACTTGTTAAGGAGCCTGAACCAGTATAATCTTTGTCTATTGTTTCCTTGATGTCGTACTACGTAAATCCTCGTACCAGCGTACCCCAATACCCTATATATCCGGTCTACGGGTACCCACCGTCGACAACAAGATATATTAATATGTAATGTGTTCCACGTAAATTTAAATTCATTGTTTAGGGTAACCAAAAAAACAAATAAAATTTTACTCCATTCGTTCCATCCGTTTCATATTCTAAGTCTTTCTAGCAGTGCCCACATTCATATATGTCTAGATTCATTAACATATATAAATATATATATATATATATATATATATATATATATATATGAATGTGGGCAATGCTAGAAAGTCTTATAATATGAAATGAAGGAAGTAGCTAATATGTGTATTGAAAAATATTAGTTAATTTGAATTTATATGTTTGTAAGAGTGATTTATCACTTATTAAATATCATATCAGATATTTTCAAATGCAAATAGGCTGTACTCTCCGTCCGGAAAGCTTGATGTTCCAGATATTCTAAGACAAATTAGCTTATAGTGTAAATTACCGATCCATCCTCCATTTATAAACTGCTGTTAGAGTTAATGAGCATGCACTCGATTCAAATGAGTGAACCAGAATGATCCAAGGGAAAAACTAATGGCTCAAAAAGTTTGAAACAATCACCTTTTTGGAATATTTTGTGAGGTCATTCTCAACCCAAGACACTATATATAGTTTTCATAAACTCCACATCATCAAAAAAAATAGTACTAGACACTACTCTTCTAATGTAAACACCACTATCCATAAAATTTAATGCTACTTATCTCACATGATGTATTGGATGTTGTGTGCAAGATATGATTTCCTTCTCTTTCCTCATTTATTCACTTGCAACATCATTTTTTTATCATAGGTGACAGCCTATTTAATGCTATGGACACTATTCTAGTCATTGGGTTGGGAATGGCATGAGCCGTAAAACGCTATTCTTTATAGCAATGAGGAAGTATGGCATAAACGAGGCATATCATAGATAGACTAAAATAGTTTGCCGAGAGTGGACCGACCAAGGTAGTTGGATTTATTTCCAACGGTTGTCCTTTTTTCTTTGGGAAAATATGTAGTGCAAATCACATATGTAGTAGAAACTTGGAAACTGTCTTTGGATTGAAAAATGGACGTTCGAGATTTATCCACGTCACCATGAGTAAAAAAAATTACTTTTTACTCATAAGCAAATCTGCGAGTAATTTTTTTACTCATGGTGACGTGGATGAATCTCGGATGTCTATTTTTGATCCAACAGTAATTTTCAGGTTTTCACTGTATACGTGGTTTCCAACATATATTTTCCCTTTTCCTTCTACCTCTGGAACGAACGAGCAGCAGGTGACAGAGCTAGGTAAACCTGTCAATGGACGAAAGTTACAGGCAAGTAACCATGTAGCAAACGTGCGCAGGCTACCAGACTGAGCGACCGACCACGTCAAGGTTGGCCATAGCAACACTGTTTTGCCGAGTACATACTTCCTTGTTCGTATGACCCATTGCACTGGGATTACCTTACCAATGTGGCACGGCAATCTTATTGCAAGTAGAGTACACCAGTGCATATGTTAGAGAACACAGACACTAACTCTGAATATGTTCTACTAGTTTTCAGAAAAAAAATGAATATGTTCTGAAACCTGTTAGGACCGACCATCCGTGGCCGGTGGCAGGTATACCCCCACAAAGAGTTAGAGATCTACCCAATCATTTTCACCAAATTTGCAACCGACCTGTACAGTTGTAACCATTAATCATTCTAATCCTATCTTCTTGCACAACGATTGGGGGAAAAAAATCAGTGCTTGACACAATCGATTCGGGGTGGATAAGGTGAGCACTGAAAGTTCTTCAGATAGTACCATTCATGTGGCTATCCAAAACCAGCAAGCACTGACTTTACTACGTTTCCAAAGATTCAGCCCCAGGTTGGCAACACAAACTACCTTCCTTTTGAAACCGCATCATGTTTAGCACCTTCCATATACTGTTTCCACCTCATATAACTTTGATCAAGTTTCAGGCTTTCAGCCTAGGATACACAGAAAAAGGCAATCTCCCGATTTGCTTCAGTTGCACGTCACCCTTGGCGAGATGACATGGAGGGGCCTCGAGGAAAAGGCACACTGAGACGAACCAAACAACAATTTTTTTTTTGGATGCTGATTGCGTCGATATGATGCCAAGTGCCTGCACTCGATTGGGCCAGGTCGATCGTTTTACGTTTTTTTTCTTGTTCTCTGTCGGTTGTGGTGGGCTCTGACCCTGCTGTTGGCTGCCATTGCCAAACTGACATCTCCTCCTTTTATATAAACGCTGGCCTCTTCCTGTGGTCTCACACAAATAGGAGTACTCAGTCTCAGACAGTGTGCAGCATTAGGAGGGAGAAGCAGAAGAAGAGAAGCCCCTACCAACCTAATCCTTGACTGCTCTCCAGGCACAAACGCTTCCATTGCCACCTCTCGTTTTCTTCCTCTCTCTCACGGACCCTGTGTTGGTCGGTTTCGTTCTTGGTTTCCTCGAGCCTGTTCCGTCCTGATTCCTGAACAAGAGGTTGGCAACTGCGAGAGAAGTTGTTGCCGGAGTGTTGGTTCGTCTGTCCGTGGATTCTTTGGTTGGTGTTCTTCGTCTGGTGGTGGTGGTGGTGGTGGATCGGCCATGTTCGTCAGGAAGCTTGTGGAGAAGGCCTCCAAGAAGGTAACTGAATCTCTCACTCTCCTCTCCGAGTCCTCTCTGCTTTGGCACTCCCTCGATCGGTTTCCAATTTGCCTCTTGATTTCTGGTTAAAGATGAACTCTTGCAGTTCTTGTTTGATGCCGTGCAGTAGCAGTATCAACTACAATCTGACAAAAAAATTTCAGAGCATGTAGTTCTGATTAAGTTTGTATTGTCACTTTCTGCTGTTTAGAACATATTTTCTTGTAGGAGCAAGAAAAGAATGTTGTCTCTTAGACGCCGTGCCGTATGGTTTGCTCGACAGAGATGGGTTGCCTCTGTTTTGATTTGAATTTCTTTCAAATTTCAAACGCACACACGCGCACAATTGCCATTGGAGATTTGGGGTAGTAATAATTAAGGCAGCGCGCAGAAGGCCATGTGATCTCATTGAAGTCGAAGCAAATTTACTGTTATTGAATGCATATATAGTTTATTCGATGCATACGCGAAGCCTACGATCTTTGTTAATGGCGATCGAGATGGATAAGAATTTAGGTTGACGTCGTTTCATACTTTCATGCATATGGATTACTTCTAGTTTGTACTTTTAGCAAAAAAAAAATCACAATTAAAAGTTTTATGATAAAAATATCTTGGCCGGTCCATCGAGATCACCGAGATTCGATTATTCTTATGCTCGGTTGCAATCAGCGTAAGTATCGCCACGCCGGCTTTTGGGTTGGTCGCGCGTTTCAGCCATTTGGATTTCACCGTCAGTTTAGCATCTTTGCTTTGGCCTCTAATGACACCGACCCGTCTGCATCATTTCTAGCTCTGCAAATGCTTAAGTTCATTACCACAAATTACTCTTGTGCTAAGCATTGATAGGGGGGGTGGGGGGGGATGATCGGTGAAGAGGTCAACGAATGATAAAGAAACAGTCATACTGTAGTAAGTAGTAACTTCGCAGTGGAGCAACTGATCATGAAGTGAAGTAGTTACAGAACGGAAAAAAGGCAGGTAAAAATTCGTCATAAGTTGAATGCGACAGATATGGCTCATGGCTGGCATAGATATCTGCAAAGAAAATTGTCGATGTTAAGTTGGGATATAGTGTACGGTCAACATAGTTTTGTGGTTAGTACGAAGTATATTATTATTCTTTTTAGTAGAGAAAATAACACGATGAGTGTGCAGTTGTCGGTTAGCAAACATGATTCTCAGTGCGTGTTAGTAGATCATGATGACATCTGGATGTGTTTTTTTTCTTTTTTTTTTATCGTCTGACGGTGACTGGGGCATGTGCGTGGCCGGTTGAGCTAATGCTGGAGTGCTGGACCAGGACATCCAATGCAAAACCTTTGCGTGCTCGCGACACGTACTCAGTACTACATGATCTGAATATCTGATCATACTACTTTGTACTATGATCTCAAATATTTTCCTCATTTAATCTTGGGAAATTCAAACGCGCGTGGTATATGGGGCTTCCACTTTCCCTCGTTTGGACTTTTGAAAGTTTCGTGTAAATTTTCACCCCATTCCTGGTTGGGCTTTAGGTTGTTTACTTGTTTATGAAAAAAAAAACTTGAAAATTTCGAATGTTTTTCTTCCCGACTTATGAATGATCGTCTTAAGAAAAAAACTTAAAATTCGTAAGAGCTCCCGGCGAGGATCGAACTCGCGACCTTTCGCTTACGAAGCGAACGCACTACCACTATGCTACGGAAGCAACTGATACATTACGGTCACGTTTGCATTTAACTACCGCTACTACTACGCAGCATCGCATCGGAGGTATCAGCGGCCTCCGCGCCGAGGACGTGAGCCCGCGGCTGGCGTTCCACTACGGCGTCCCCGCCGACGCCGCGCTCCTCGCCTACGACCCCGCCCTCCACGTCCTCGCCGTCGCCATCAGGTAGCCGCCCCCCCCCCCCCCCTCCTTCCACCCGCTCTCTCGCTGACGCGCTCTTCTGCTGCATTTTCTCTGCAGGAATGGGCAGATCAAGCTGTTCGGCCGCGACAACACGCAGGCGCTGCTCCAATCCCCGTCCCCCGTCCCCTCCAAGTTCCTGCGGGTATCGTCGCTGATTCTTTTTTACTCGAAATCCCATTGATCTTTGTTTCGGTTGCCGCGTTTGCAATTCTTGGGTGTGGTTCAACTTCAAGCTCAGTTAGTTCGCACTTCCGTTTCAGTTTGCCGAGGGGCAAAGGGTTCTCCTGAACGTGAACGCCAAGAACCAGATCGAGGCAAGTTTGTTCTCGGACCTTTCAGTGCTCGTTTGGTTAAATGTGGTTTCCTTTTTGGTGTGCTGCTAATGGAAAATCATCTTATGCAGATTTGGGACATCGACACAAAGAAGTTGTGTTATGTGCATCCGTTCGAGAAGGAAATCACGGCATTTTCCGTTCTGCAGAATAGCTTCTACATGTAAGCATCGGTTGCTTTACCTACTGCTGAGTCCTGTGGAGTTAAGTGCTCTGATTAGAAGATCTTGTCTATGCAGCTATGTGGGTGATAGTTTTGGGAATGTGTCCCTGTTGAAGCTTGACTTGGGTCAGACATGTCTAGTTGACATGCCATATTGGATTCCTTTCTCTGAATCTTATGGTAGGTTTACTCCAATATGTATTGGTTGAATTATCATACTTTACATGAAAGATAAAAATAGCACCAACTTTGGAATCTAATTGATTCTTGCTGAAGGTTCTGGAGCAAATGTTGGTAATGAGGTTGAAGTTGCATTTGTATCGCCACAGCCTTTGGCTGAAAATAACAGGTTGGTGTCTCTTCTGAATATTCTGTACATCTCTTCCAAACTAGTTTGGCACAAGCAGTTAAGTATTTTATGCCAGATAGTACTCAGGTGATCTTTTCATCCATTCTATGTATAGACGTAGTGAAATGTCTAATTAAGGTACACTCTTCAGAGTGCTCATTATCTTCAGAGATGGGATTATGTCTTTGTGGGATATTAAGACGAGCAAAGTGGTATCTTTATCCGGCAAATCTATGCAACAACAGTCACATCAGGAGGCTAAAGCTGTAACATCGGCATGCTGGGCTTGTGCCAAGGGAAGCAAAATTGCTATTGGATTTGATAGTGGTGATATATATCTTTGGTCTATTCCTGATATTTTAAATGCACAAAATCTCTCATCGATGGGCAATCAAAACCTACCTCTTCAGAGGCTTAACCTTGGATACAAGCTAGACAGGGTGTCTATAGTCTCTTTGCGATGGGTCAATAGTGACGGAAAGGCAGGGCGTTTGTATGTTAATGGATTCAGTGATCATGCATACCTATTTCAGGTGAAACACTAAATTAGTGCATTTTATGTTATCCCCCCCACAAGTTTGGACTGCCATGCCGTTTTGACTTTTCAGTCTTAGCCGTTTTTGTAAATGTCACATGTTTTTTTAGTTCTTGAACTTGTAGACCAGTTATGACTTTAGCTTATTGCAACCAACTTGATTAGTGCAATTCATCATGTGTGCCTACCAAGAATATCAGTGAAATAAATTCAAGCAATTAAGATGATACTGATTCTATGTTTTCATGTTCAGTGCATCTGAACGCTAACATGCTTTTGCAACACTACCACATAGTGTAACAGTTTCTTTGTTTAGGAGTCTGTAACACTGTTTTCAGAGCCAACTGTTACTTGGTAGGTTAGTTGTGAAGCTACTCTCCTGCCCAGCCAGGTTCAACTCCAGGCCTTTTTTCTCCTTGGGTTTGACTCTTCCTGTTTTTTCTCCTCCCAGTTACTCCCTTTTTCTTAAGATTGATCTAGACTGGTTCGTTACCTGTTCTAAGACTAGCTGATTTGGAATATGATATATTATTTAAAATAAATGCTCAGCTAGAATCCTAGAAAGGCTAAGAAATTCTTGCTCGAAACAATATTTGAACATGGCTGAAACTACTATTTCTTTTCTAAATAATGTTGTGTTAACCGACACTGGTTGACATTCAGCAAGAACATTCAACCTTTCATTTGATGTTCCTTAAACACAGGTCCTGATTCTGAACGAAGAGAGCGAATCACGAATTGTAAAGATGGTTTTGCCTCTCACAGAAGCCTGCCAAGGAATGGAACTTGTTTCAGGGCTTAGTGACCCAAATAAGCACAAACAAAGTGCTCTTGTTCTCTTGTTGAAATCTGGTCAAATTTGCTTATATGATGATTCAGAGATTGAGCGCTACCTTCTTCATGCTCAGTCAAGATCGCCACTAGCACTTCCAAACTATTCATCTGTGAAGCTACCTTATGGTGATCCAAGCATCACCGCTGCAAAGTTTTATACCAGTAGCCCTACAGCTGCGACTTCTTTGGATGAGGCATGTATAGATTTGTAAATTACACCTATCAAACAACTATGAATGCTTTGACCAGATAGCGTTTTTAATGGGCTTTGACCAAATAGCTTCATATTTTGATGATGGACAGGACTATTTTTCATCATTGGCCACCAAATACCCATGGTTCCTTTCAATGAAAGATAAACATCAGACTTCCACAGGTTCTGCCGACATTCATAAGACCAGAAATCTCTATGTAACTGGACATCTTGATGGAACCATAAGGTTTTGGGATGCATCATGTCCTCTTTTACTGCAGAATTTAATGATAAAGCACCAGGTGACTTAAAACTCCAATTATTTTTGCTGGCCACTCTCTAATTATGTATTTTGCTGAAAATTCTCTAGTTATGCATTTTGCACACAAATTACTACGTTTTACTTCGTTCTAACAACTCATTATTGTTATTGTTTCAGAATGAAGAGAATAGTCCAAGTGGCACCCCTATTACATCATTACAGTTTGATATGTCATCCAGCATTCTAATCTGTGGGGATAGGAGTGGAACGGTAAGCTATTTCATGGATATAAGGTGAATTATAATATGGTTTTAATACACTTCCAGTGCAGTAAAACTTTTTTTCTTCCTGTTAGGTCCGTATAATCACATTCAGAAAGGACTCCAGCGATAACATATTCTCCTTTTTACATGGTATAATTTACTCTCTGTCTTGCTAATATCAACAGTTGGTGCTTGCCTTACTATGTGGTTAGGTGTTCATTGTCCAAAGAATTTGCACTGCGATACTATCTATGCTCGTGCTAGCTACATAATTTACTCCATCAGTTAATTTTGTGGAACATGGAAACTAATGGAAACATGTCCGATCTTAGAACTTCTTGATTTCACCATCTGGTCCAAATACCTTTGTTAATGGTACCTTTAACATATTTTTCAAGTGCTTGTATGTTATTTTAACACATTCATCTTTTACATGGACTGGTCAGCGAAGCAAGGGGAGAGCTATAATGTCAGATGTATAAAGCTTAAAGGCGCTGTAACCTCAATCTCTTTGATCTCGAACTCAAAGCGTGTTGCTGTTGGAACAGAAAAAGGGATTGTAAGTAATCTGTTATGTTTTTGCAAAATATTCTCTACTGTCATTTTTCTCTTAACGACATGTCTGTATCATGTCAAAACACTAAGATGATAAGCTTGTCTAGAGCAACATATTGTACAATCGTAGGTTATTACTAACAAATACCAGTATTTGATTGGTATTCTGCCTAACAAAAATAAGTAGCAAACTTGAATTGTTGCAGACAGTATTGAAGTATTTTCCTTTTGAGAAACTGAGTTATATAGTCTCATAATTTCCCCATATACTTTATGTTTTGCCTTTTATGGTTTACGATAACTAATATCATGCATATTAGTGGCCCCCTGGTCATTTTGATGTTACAATGTATCTATTTCAAGTGTATATCTCATGAACTTCACTACCTATATATTTGGCTCAGCTGTCTTAAGCTCTATGAAATGCTATACTGAATTCATGTTTTCAGGTATCAGTTGTCAGCATTGAAGATGCATCGATCTTGTATCAAAAACAGCTTGAGTGTCGGGTATCTGGTGGAATCGCATCTTTGCAATTTGAAATGTACAGCCATAATGGCTACGACAAGGATCTTTTGCTAGTAGGAATGGAAGATTCAACTATATATATTCTTGAGGAAGAAACTGGAAAACTTTTGAATACCAACCCAGTTCAGACAAACAAACCCTCCCGAGCCCTATTGATGCAGACACTTGGTGAGCTATATGGCCTTGTATACCCATCCATCTTTCTTTTCAATATCTACCTATCAATTTTTCTGTACGCTCAAAATTAGTAACTATATTGCTGTATTATACTACCATTCTAATACATTTATACATGACAGAATTATCACCAGATGATCCATCGTTGTCAGATACCCACGATACAGTATCGAAAGAATCACTGTTATTGCTTTGCACTGAAAATGCAATCCGCTTATTTTCCTTGAGCCATGCAATTCAGGTATTTTTGGTTCCCAATTATTTATTGGAAGTTCTACTTTTATGTGAGTTTCTATTTTTAATCGTGGAGCTCCCCTTCAGGGAACAAAGAATATAATCAATAAGAAGAAACCAAATGGTAGTTGCTGTTTTGCATCTCTTATCCACAGTGTTTCTTCTGAAATTGGACTTCTACTTGTCTTCTCCAATGGCAAAATAGAGATAAGGTGGGGCAACAGTTGAGTTAAAAACTTTGACACGCATGAGGCTATTTGAATGAAATAAATGAACAGTGAACCTTGTGAAACTGCAGATCCCTCCCAGATTTATCTATATTGAAGGAAGCCTCTTTAAGAGGTTTTTCATATACAAGAAACTTGAATTCTTCTAGCTCCATAGCATGTTCATCTGATGGAGAAATCATCTTGGTATGAACTACACCTTTTTTTTCTCTTACACTTTTGGAAGACATTTTCAGCTAGGTTGAATGTAGCTTTCAATCTTTTTAGTTTCAGAAAAAAATGGGGCCTTTGTGTATATACTATAGCCTTTTTATTATGCAGGTTAATGGAGAGGAGACATTTTTTTTCTCTACTCTCTGTCAGAATGACATCTACAGGTATGCTGAAAATTTTATAGTATCATGATTAGTATATGAATCTGATAATGATGATCATGTTAAAAAGTTGTTCAGAAAAATTCCAACATGAATTGCAATTTTTTGGCCCAGCAAATTCATTATTCAATACTAGAGCTGAACCTAAAAGCATTAATAGCTTTCTTCAGGGTTCTTTTAAGATTGCTTTGTAACATTGTTGTTTTACTATGCTCTGTACTCAGGCATGTAGACAGCATTAATACAATATACAGAAAAGACAACTCGCCCAGGGAAGAATCTTCTTATGTAGTGAAGTCCCCCAGAGAAAAGAAAAAGGTAATTAACTAATCTTATGGGTGGTGGGGGCCATTTGTCTCTGTTTTTTCTAAGAATGAAAATTCTACAGGGCATATTCGGAATGATTATGAAAGATACTAAAGCAAGCAAGGGAAAACAGAGCGATGCAAATGGAGATGAACAATTTACTGCAACAACTTCCGAAGAGCTGTCTTCAATATTTTCATGTGCTAATTTTGCTCCAGTATCTGAGAAGAGGAACAGTTCAATAAAAGATGACGAGAACATTGAACTAGATATAGGTATGTGTTATTATTTTACCTATGCTTGATCAAGTGTACGGCGTAGTTATACTTATGGTTGTATGCTTCTGTGAAGATGATATCAACATTGATGATAACCCGCAAAAGCAGAAAGGACCACACTTCCCAGGTCTAAGCAAACAGAAAATCAGCAAGGGATTCCAAAGCCTAAGAGGTTAGTAAATTATAGTAATGAGATGAGATGTTCACATGCAACCTTGTATACAGCGTATGGCTCCGAAAACTGACATTCTAAAACAACTTAAAAAGGTGTCATATTATTCAATTATGAATTTGCAGAAAAGTTGAAGCCCAGGACAGAAGAAAAGGTGAATTCAGGGAATAGAAAACCTGAAGACGACACATCAGTCAGTCAAGTTGACCAGATAAAGATGAAATATGGATATGCAACAAATGATGTGAGTGCATAGAAGGGCTAGAAATCTAACATTTTTAGTTGACGCACCGCAAAAACGTATGTAATTGAACTGTTTTGACGCCTTCCCTTATCATTTTTAATGTTTATCTGAACAGGACCCCACTAGCCTACCAAAAATGATTGGGAACAAGCTGCAAGAGAATATAAAAAAGTTGGAGGTAAGAATGTCCATCTGAAGTTCTCCATATGGATTGCTACAAAAACCGTCTAAAAGAACACAAAAAATTACCTGAAAATATTGCCTGAAAAGACACCCAACAGGTAGATGGTTAACATATGTACCAATGTTCCTTTTGTAGGGCATTAATATTCGCGCTGGAGATATGGCCAACGGTGCTCAATCCTTCTCGGCAATGGCAAAAGAACTGCTGCGAAACACAAAGAACGAGAAGGCCACATCGTAGAAATGGCACATACATGTACCTTCCCCTCTCAGTTTTGAGTGTTCCTGTTCATTCAGTGCAGTTCTTCTACCGCATGAAATAATTCTGTTGTAAATAATGATTGAGAATCACAGCAAGAATTTACTGGTGAATTTCTTTCCCAGATGCGTTGGTAGCATGTATAGTACCACTTGATAGTCATCATAAATGAACTGTTTTTCTGTTAAGAAAAGAAAATTATTGAACTTTTCTATCTTGTGAACTATACCAAGTCATCATGGAAAAGGCTTTTCCAAGGAGCAACACAAAACCCTGAGCAGGCATGTGAACTAGTAGCATTTTGCGCTGTATTTCAGGATGTTAAAAGGTACCTGAAGAACCTCGGAACGCACATAGCATAACAACAGCGGCATGTACCTAAGTTGCGGACAATGGAGGCAATCACGAGTTCATAACAACAATTCTCAATACTCACGGCAGTAAGAACATATCGCAGGCAGAGCATTACTGTGAATGAAAAGGCACAACGAATAAAAAAGATAAACCAAAGATGCACCAATAACGGCACGAACTGAGTACACAACAGAATATGAATACAGCAGACGCGATTAACAGAAAGCCAATCGCGGACTAGTCATCAGATCAGTGAATAAGCAAAATAGTTTACACATGCTGCGGAGGTTCGCAAAAGAAAAGCAGTCAACAGTATTCAGCATTTTCTTCGCTACTAGTTAAACAGAGACACCTCCAGCATGCCACGGCCCAGGAGTACCTTCATTCGCACGTTTTCCTTACAACAGGACATAACAAGGATAACAGTAACATAGCAAAGCTAAAGCCCTAAGCAGTGAACACCGATTTGCATAGCTGCAGCTCTCTAAGCTATTTACTACTACTCGTCCTGCAAGGAAGAAATTGGGATGAGGTTAGTGACAATAAAGCACAGGCATAATTCATTTCCATTTCAGTGCTAAACACCGCCATGTACTATATAATGTTCTATATACCTCGCCACTGCCATCATTCTCATCATCCTCAACATCAGACTTCGACTTGTCAGAACCTTCTCCCTCCTGTTCCGCACCATCAGTTTTAGCCTTCTTAGAGCTAGTGCTCTCCTAATGAAAATGTAAGAGAACACATTTATCAGCACAAAAATGAATATAAAATGCAAGAGTACAAGGTCAGTATCACATAATTCACAAAGGCAATAATACCTTCTTCTTGCTAGCGGCCGCGGGCTTGCTCTCGCCATCTGGCTTCTTGCCCCCATATTGCGCTTTCTCCTAAACAAGGATATATTAATTATTCTGTTAAATGCCATATATTGATATTTCCCTTAAATAAGCAGACAATGGTTGAGGCCAGATCCCGTGAAGGGAGCCGTCAACCCAATAATGTAGCCCAGTTAAGTAATGACACCATTCCTAAAAATTAACTGAAATATCTGCAGTCCAACTAAGCAATGACACATGCCCTGTAATATAAAATAGGCAAATTGGCTCTACATCATCCAAAGTTACCCTTTTTGGTTTTATAGCACCGAAAATTCACTGATTACTTTAATACCACTAAAATCTCCACCCGTTACTGTTTGTAGCACTTCCACCGCCTTTCTCCGTTTCCCGTCCCCTTGCCTGCTGTTGACCCAGAAATCCCAACTTAGCATGAGTACTCCCCACACCGGGCACACGATGTGAAGTTTACAGTAACCAAGTGAGGGTGGGGTTGGGGGGTCAGTTCCCCCACAACGGTCAAAGTAACAGAAACAGGAGAAAACTGACAATAGTGCTATGAACAGTACCAGAGAGTTTTGGAAGCTATTAAAATGAACCATAAACTTCCATTGCTATAAAACCAAAAATGTTAACTTTGGATGCTATAGATCCAATTTCGCTTATAAATAACTAGATAACTAGAGAAAATACAAGCAATTAAATGAAGGAGCCATGGATTCATTCTTCCTTTCTTGACAAAGGTTTTTCAGATCTACAAGCTAGTTCCTCTCACATCATCATCCTATATTTGCATATGTAGCTCAGTTCCACTTCTCATTTTTTTTTTGTTCAACGTATCCTACCACCCTTCTCGTTCCTCCATCGCTGGAACGACGACCCCTCTGTTTTCAGAACGAAGTTCCGCTTCGTTCCCGTTCCTCGTTCCGGGACAAAATTCCCGGGACAAGGAACTCACCCACGATCCACGTTCCCTGTGACTTAGAGCTCACCAACAACTACAAGTTGTGTTATTGAACTTCTATCCCATGGGAGTTATATTTGCGACTTGAAAGGACATGCCACCTTCACTGGATTTTTTTTTTTGTCAAGTGATTTTATTTCCTATAGTGCATTCTCCCAAAAACATGGCTCAAAGAACCTCACAGCTGTATAGAATCTCCACCCATTACCTGTAAGAGCTTGATGTGATCCATGGACCATGGATGAGTCTAGCTAGCACTCTAGATAGCTTTGCTGCACAGGCATGCTAAGGATCGATACATGTTGCAACAGACAATAAAGCCACTGTACAGCACGTGTACTGAAGAAGAATGGCATAATTTGTGGTTATAAAGCGTCAGGTCATAACTAATAATAACTGCTAAAAGCTCAGAAAACTGCATATAATATGCTTTTTCACATGATATGCGACAAGTGTAATCAGCTTATTGGACGTGCAAATATCAGTTGCGGGAATCCCCGCACAGAAGCATAATAAAGCGTGCTAGTACAACAACTGCCAGCATCTGCTAACCTCGTCCGACATAGCGCGCCACTTCTCCCCGGCAGCCTTGGTCACCTAAATCCACCACAATCAGCAAGCAAGAGCAACATATGAGCCACAGAAACGAAACCCTAGAAGCAAATCTGGTAGACGGAGAGTAGGTAGAGTACTCACCGCTGCGACGCCCTTGGTGTTTGGGTGCTTCTCCATGTACTGCGGCCTGAACTCAGCCCTGCCACACACACCACCAGCGACCAAAAAAAAAATTCAAAAAAAATCCACAAAATTCAGAAAGGGGGAAAAACGTAGATCTGGAGGCACGAAAGGCGCAAGCAGACGGAGGGAGGGAAGGCTCACAGGAAGGCGAAGAACGGGGTGAGGCCGCGCTTGGGCTTGCCGGCGCCTCCGGCCTTCTTGCGCTTGCCGGCGGCCTTGAACCTGCAACGGCGGAGGGAGCCACGCGCATCAGAAACAACAGCAGCAGCAGCAGAAACAAAAAAAAAAAAAAAAAAAAAAAAAAAAAAAACGGAGGCAAATCGGCCCTCGCTTCCACCGACCCAAACCACAAGAGGAGGGAGAGAGCAAGGTTGCGGGTGACTTACTCGGCGTCGGCGTCGGCCTTGCCCATGGTGGCGGAAGGGGGGTAGGGCTTTGCGGAGGGTTAGGGTTGCAGTGGCTGGCTGGAAGCGGAGATGAGAGCGAAGAGGAGAGGGGAATTGGGTGGTGTGTCTTGGTTGGTTGGGGAAAAGGGAAGGGCGAGGTGCGGGTGAGATGTGGGGGAGGGGCGGTGGCCGCGTAGTGCGCTTCCAAGATTTCGGTTCGGACGTGGGCCTTATGGGCCGGGAATATGGCTCCGGAGGCCCAGTTTCGCTGTGCCGTCACATTGGTAGCCCGTTATGTGTTCTATATTACACTTTCCTAACTTCTATTCCCACATTTTCTACGTTCGCTTACTGAACTGTTAATAAACGATGTAATTTTTACAAAAGTTTTCTATAGAAAATTTTCTTTGAAAAAATCATATTAATCTAATTTTTAAGTTTTTTAAGCTAATATTTAATCAATCATGTGCTGATCTCTCTCTCATGGGAAGGATTTTCAACCCCTCCAAAAAAAACACAGCCTTAGCCACTTACGGCCCGTTTGGTTGGAGGGAGTTTTTAGGAGGGATTGTGAGTTTATAAGGATGAAATTATTAAGTGTTTTGTTTGGTTGGGAGACATGGGAATTTTGGTGGGATAGGGATGGGGAATTGAGGAAGGAACTCCCTCCTTTTCAATACCTGGATAGGGGCAGGTAATTGGGAGGGAATTCCTCCTTTACTTTTTCTAAGCAAATCTCAGCCATCCGTTTTTATTAATGACCTAATATCCAACTAAACTCCCTATCAATTTCCATCACCTCTACCAAACAAGATATTGGGATTAAAAATCAAATTCCCATCTTAATATCATCATCAATTCCCTCGTGTAAACTCCTAATCCCCTTCCCTCGAGTTACCACACAAGCCTTCCTTTCCAAAATAATTTTAGGAATTAAACTAAATCCTGTCAAATGAACCCTAATACATGCAAAATAAGCCATGGCGATTCCTCTAAGAAACGGACTGAAAAGGCAATGTGAATTATGAGAATGTCTCAAAAGGGCAGGACAGGACTTCAAAGAATGGGGAAAAGAGTAATAGTATATTTCTTTAAAGGTGATAATTCAATCTCCTGAAAAAAAAAAGAGTACATGTGGCTGTACAATTTCAACAGCTCTTCAGTGAGAGCAAAGAATCACTTTATTCCTCAAAAATTATATTAGAACTCCTGGTGTTACATTTTTTGTATTGGTATTGTCCTATGTCTGCACAAAGGTAATTGCTATTCACCGCACTGGATGTACTCTTGCTCTTGTAGGTTTGAGACTCTGCAGACTGCACACATTCTGCTGTTGCGTTTTCAGTATTTACAAGATTTACTCATGTCAAACAATAAGGCCAAGCAAAGAACTTTCATCAGTCAGCAACTCTTTGGAGAAATATTTGAAGTTCCTCTCAGATCCTCCCACTGTGACATCTCCAACTCAAATTGCATGAGATTCTCCTTCCATAGATTGCTCTCCAAGTACCTTTCATAGAAAGTTACTTCGCCGTTGAACTTCACAGCAAGAGCAGTCATGCTTCGTGTTCCATATCGTGCCTGAAACCAGAAGGAAATTTTGTACCTGTCACTAATTTGGTAGGATCAAGAAACAGGACAGTATATACCCAATACTGAATCTTCTAATTTTACCTGTCCTTTCTCAGTGTCAATGAATATAGAGCTTAGCTGGTATTCCCAGTCAGGGTCGACACCAGTATCTGGCACTGCAGATTTATCAGCCTTGACAGGATCCATCATCAACTCTTCAACCATCTGTTGTAAAGAGACTTCCGCACCATCCTGTGTTGCAAGAAATCTGTTGAAACTTTGTCCTAAGCGCAACATCTGTAGGATGAAAATGAGTTGCACAAGGAAAAAATCATCAAAATATAGTTTTGATTGTAAAACTAGAAGAACTTTAAGTGAAACTACTCATAAAACAATAAAGTATCTTAAGATAAATGAAGCGAGCAAATGCAAGGAGTGACTTTGCATGAACTTGTTGATTCCTTTAGCTATACACACAGTATCATGGTATTTAACTTGCACAGGAGACCTTTATCTCGAGTATATCGCAACTTCCAAGAAAACATGTGACTCCTAGTGAAAGAACCGAACTGCTTACCTTAGGCCAAGGGCAGTCAATTGCAGCATTGGAAAGCACATGGAACCCAGGGAGAACTTTCTGAACCACTGGATCACCCTCAGGTCTATTAGATATGTAAGCCATATTTCCCGACTGCACATCAGCCAATACAAGGTTAAAGCCATTGTACTGATCTGCTTCCTTGGCTATTTCTTCCGCATACTCCAACGGACATTGGTTTCCCTGTATCATAGATTCATTGAAGTAAAAGAAACATTATCAATAATTAAGCAAGGATCAATTGTAGGAAGCTAATCTAAGAAGGAGCTGTAGAACATGTAATGCAGCCTCACATAAGAAGCAAGTCAAATTGGCAACTGATAGCTAGTTCTTAAAGTCACAACATTTAACAACAATATTGCCTTCCTCGGAGATGAGTATGAAACGTTGGATCATTATTGTACTTGTATAGCAGCTTAATGTTCAGATACAACCATGCCTCAATGGTGTTATGTAGGAGTTGATAAATTGCACATATAAACTCGTATGAATATATTTGTTTGAACACAAGATGTGTTCATCCAATTGTAGCATATGCATGATGCATCTCACAATTAGCCGGTCACATGATCCTGCTCCACGCGCCTCATAGCATCCGTAAGCTTCTTGACACAAACCATGGCCAAACAACAGAAAAAGTTGGAATGGTCACCTGGAGGAACCTGACGGGGAGCTCCCCTCTGACGTTGGGTCCGACCAGCGTGCCGGGCTCCCGGACGTTGGTCAGGAAGGCCAGCTTCCCGTCCCTCGTGCACCCCAGCCACGTGCCGCCGCCGAGCTCATCCCTACCCCCAAGGATCAACTTTACCTCCGCCTTCCCGGCGGCCCACCACCCCGCCGGTTGCGTCGGCCTTGACAAAAAATCGCGGCGTGCTCGTGTCAAAAGATGAGAGTTATACGGAGTGGGGATGGATGGAACAGAGCAGGGGGCGCACCTCGAGTGGTACTCGTCGCGGTTGAAGAGGAGGAGCAGGCGGTGCGCAGGTTGGGACTGCCATGCCCACGCCGCGATGCACATCGCCGCGCCGGTGGGGAGTAGGTCGGCGACGGCGGCGGAGACGATGAGCTGGAGTAATTTGCAGACAGGTCCCTGAATAATTCGTATATTCCTAGTGGGAGGACTGGCCACCGTCCATGGCCGAACGAGCGGTCGAGATTACGATCCGCTACCAACCCATAGCCATCTTCTTGTTCGTTCGATCTCTTCCGCCGAAAAGGATGGAGTATTTTCAGAAAAGCACCCGCTAAAAGATACCGATATTCCCTTTTCGTTGATCAAATCATCAAAACCGTCAAGCATCACATTGATAGATCAGGATTCTCTACCTTCGAAATTATGTGACTTTGTCAGTTATCACATATATGATCCTGACAAATCTGAACCTATATATAAGTAACAATGTCACGATGATTTTAAAGGTAAAGGATCTATCCTCTGTATTTGCACCCACCAACTGTTGTAAGCGTTGAAGGACTTGAGAACTGGGTGCTTAATGTTGTTGTGGGCCGCGCACTCTGTGTTCGACGGGATGACGATCGGCATGTGCTTCCGAAGCCTGCAGGACGATGTTCGTGGGAAGGAGTCAAGGAGCCGAGCATTTTCGTTCATACACTGTTTAGATTTTAGAACCTGGACATTACAACATGACAAAGCACACACAAGCACAAACATGAGAATCTTTGAGGCAACGAAATCAAACAACATGACTATTAGCTACGAACCACTGCTATCAGCAATTGAGAGCTTGAGATGACGTCAGTGGATCACCACTCAAAAAATACTATAGAACACTCTATGGACACTTGCTTGTGTTTGGAAAGAGAGATCCTCTAGTGCGAAAACAGCCGATGCCATGTAAACACTTCATGTGCCTTTTATGTCAAGACATAACCATTTCTAATTTCGATAACCACCAAGGCACCAACATAATCATAGAATTGAAACCTTTGCGATGTTGCTTCTAAACTTGCTGCAATGGAGCACTGCATAATTTGTCGGCTGTTCTGGCATGAAAATTACAGCGGTCACCTAGGACAAAATCTGGTATTTGATCTGTTGTTGAGAGTGAACTCTGAACCAGTTGCTTGATTGACTTGCCTATCTTGAGATGACAGGCATGATCCCAAAAACCAGAAGCATTAGCAAGACACATAAAATTGAGCCTAAAGCCACCAGCAATTGTCATTTTGCATCATATTTTCATTCAATTTGTTGTCCGACGTTATTGGAAGTTTCTGTTGGGACAAGATTTACTATCAACAAGAAGAACAATATCATCAACTAGTCATTATTCTTGAAAATCTTGAACAAACCTAGCTTTGCCTAGAAACAAAATTGTTCTGATGGCTATCAAATATTTGTCAAGCATCTCTTTATGTGTCCAACTTCACTCATCAGAAGAAAGGCGACATGGCGAACCGGAGTCTGAAACTCCGGACCGTGCAACACATAATCCACCCATATCATGAATTGATGCTGGAATTCAGACTCGTGGTCATCCAAAACTGGCTTCAGATCTATTGGTGATCCGCAGCGAATAGAAACGTCAACTGCAAGCATGATGTTTGTAAATCTATTATTTTTCTAGGGCTACTTACCTCAAGTGGAAATGGATACGAGAAAACGTACGATATGCCATTTTCTAGGTTGGGTTCGGATAAAATGCCACTCAATATAATGTACCGAATAAAACACCAATCAATATATTACCTACCGGATGAAATGCCACTTTGAAAATTTTTGTATCCAAAATATCCCTAGAGAGAGAGAGGGAGAGGGGAGCGCCAGGAGGGCCGGCTGGGTAGCGGTGGCGGCAGCCGGCAGGGACGACGGGGGAAGGAGGACAGGACGGAGGAAGAGGCGACGCATGTGGAGCCTCAGACCATCGTCCCCGTCGCTCCTCCTCCTCCCCTTGCCCCCGCCGCTGCCGTCTATCGGCGAACCCGCGGGTAGGTGTGCTCACCGCCCCGTCCTCATTCCCCACGTCATCGCTCCTCCTCCCATTGCCCCGTCGTCCTCGCCGCGCCTGTCCTCCTCCCCCAGACGTCCCCACCGGCCGCCGGTCCCGNCGGCCTCCCAGTGCTCCATCTCCCCCCCCTCTCTCTCTCTTCTCTCCTCCATTTTGGGCACAAAAATCTTCAAAGTGGTATTTTATCCGGTAGGCAACGTATTGAGTGGTATTTCATCCGAACCCAACCTAGAGAGTGGCATATCGTCCGTTTTCTAGGTGACGACACCATTTTAAGAGCGGATATATGACACAACAACTCTGTTGCATGCACTCAACGTTGTGTATGCTACTAAATATTCTTTTGCACCATGTGGAGTACAAGGCATGCTCTAATCCTTTCAATTTTATGGGAAAATTAAGCATTGTCAACCAACTTTACACGGTCTCTTTTTCCCCTTCTTTTTCTCATTGAGAAGTGTATATACCCATATGTTTTTCTATTATACTACTTGGCAGTTGCCAAAGAAAAGAGGAGTGAGGAGTTGGCTCTTCCATTTGCACTAGTAATATATGTCGGTATTTTACAACAAAATATACCTACATAATCTATTATATTATTAAAGGAATAGAAAAAAGAACCTCCACGTTCGCTCTCATGGTCTAGAAATTATCACATTAATCGGAGAAAAAGAAAAAAGTAGAGTCCATATAGAAATACAATTTAGAAATAGCTGAAATTCAGAATTCAAATTAAAGAATATTAGAAGAGAAGACTAGAGTCCATATAGAAATACAATTTAGAAATAGTTGAAATTCGGAATTAAAAAATAAGGAATATTAGAAAAGGAGGCTAGAGTCCATATAGAAATACAATTTAGAAATAGTTGAAATTCGGAATTAAAAAATAAGGAATATTAGAAGAGAAGACTAGAGTTCATATAGAAATACAATTAGGAAATAACTGAAATTCGGAATTAAAAATAAGAAATATTAGAAGAGGAGACTAGAGTCCATATAGAAATACAATTAGGAAAAAACTGAAATTTGAAATTAAAAATAAGGAATATTAGAAGTAGAGTATAGAGTCCATAGAGAAATACAATTAGGAAATAATATAAATTTGGAATTAAAAATAAGAAATATTAGAAGTAGAGTATAGAGTCCATATAGAAATACAATTAGGAAATAACTGAAATTCGGAATTAAAAATAAGAAATATTAGATGTAGAGTATAGAGTCCATATAGAAATTCAATTTGGAAATAATATAAATTTGGAATTAAAAATAAGGAATATTAGAAGTAGAGTATAGAGTTCATATAGAAATACAATTAAGAAAAAAAAATAGAAATTCGGAATTAAAAAAAAGGAATATTAGAAGTAGAGTATAGAGTCCATATAGGAATTTAAAACTAACTAAAATTTGGAATAAACATAATGCAATTAAAAGTAGAGTTTAGAGTCCGTATAAAAATACAATTTACAAATAACTAAAATTCGAAATTAAGAAAAACATGAGAAGAAAATTTTAAGGTCAATATAGGAATACGAATATAGGAATATAATTTAGAATAGAAGTAACTGAAATTCGAAATTAAAAATTAAAGAATATTGAAAGATGAGTTTAGAGTCCACATAGAAATACAATTAGAAATAAAAAATTTATAAATAAAAATAAATAATATTGGAAGAAGAGCATAGAGTCTATATAGAAATACAATTTACAGAAAATTGAGAATTTTAAAAAAGAAATATTAAAAGACGAGTCTAGAGTCCATATAGGAATATATATAATTTACAAATAACTAAAATTTGATATTAAAAATAATTAATAACTAACATGTATATAAAATATAATATAAATAGTACACATTAGTAGTTTTGTAAAGTTATTGCAAAATTTAAAATTATGTAGTCATTTAAATATATTTGAATAATATAATGAGAAAACATACGTGCTATTATATGAGAGAAAATATAACGATACTAGCCGCGCAATCTGCGTGGGCCACCATGCTAGTTAAGGATTGATTGGGTGGGTGGATTGAGAATAAAACGCCGATGCTTACAACAGGTCATGTCTATATAATTAGAGATTAACTGGATAGGTGAATCGAAGATAAAACGCATGTTATATTGGATTGGTTGGGTGAATCAAGGTTACGCACACACGAGAGAGAGAGCACGAGCACATAAGGAGGAGGATGGAAGAAATACTCCCTCCATCCTATACTGTTAATATCCAATATTTGACCGTTCATTTTATTTGAATTTTTTTATGATTAATATGATTATTATTAGATGATAAAATATAAATAATAATTTATGTGTGACTATCTATCTATCTTTATCTATCTATCTATCTATTATATACTAAAAGTCCATTGACCTTTCTACAAACGCTCCCAAGCTACCACGTGGCCTCCTACAAACTCTCATAAGCCGCCACATGGCGTTCTAATAAATTAGGAAAAAAAAAGGTGGACCCACTAATTAATTTTGCCAATTAAATCTCCATCTAAAAGAAAAAAAATCTGGTATCCCCACCACCGTACGCACGCATGTACACGTACTCCTTTCCCCTCCACACCCTCCGAACTCTCCCCTATTCTCCTATTTTTTTTAGCTAACTTCTCCTATTTTATAGCCAACACTTAATATATAAAAATGATAATAATCGATTATCTAAATCTACATAATTCTCAAGTTACATATTTTTTCTCATTTTTTCAACTGGTGTGTTATTTATCAATTAAATACCAAATTCAAGATCTATATTACCCATATTTTGTTATTTAAAAATTAAAAATTAGATCACTCTATCTAATTATTGAGTTTTTATGACTAGTTAGGTGCCCGTGCGTTGCAACGGAAAAAAATAATACGTTAATTTCAAATCACACTGGCTTATTTAAATCATATTTCACTGTTTTACAAATACTAATAGTAAGCCACCCCAATATAAAGAGACCGTATAAAATATATCCAGATCGTACGAGTTTAGGTAAAAAGGAAGCGGATAAGTGCAATATTCATTTCTCATGGGTGATTTACGTACAAAAAAAAAAAGATAGCATGGAGGACCATGGCATATGCAGAATAGAGCAGAGAAAAGGTTGTATCTTTATTCAGTTGTACATGCATCATCTCACAATCTTGAGTTAAATTTGCTCTGTGCTTGAATAGATGACTGGCAATGGCACAGTAAGATTGTGCCCGATCAATCTGCTTGGATAGTTCTACATCTGCATTTGCTAAAATCTGATTCTACATCTGCATTTGTTAAATCTGATTCTACTTCCGCTTCAGACTAACAGGTCATGAATATTCGCCTAATATAGTTTCTTTGTCTGATCAAGTTCAAGAAAATCACTTGACATTTCATTTAATTAACAGCTCATCGAGAACAGCCTGAAGACACGTCAAAAATCCCCAACTGCATGTTGTACACCAAAGTCAGGTGTGAACATAAGTTTGAAGCCAAAACAAAATGGATACAATTCAGGTTTCAGTTGAGCACCTGCGCTGCGATCAACACATCCTACCTCTGCACCATTGCCGATGCTACGTCCTTCCCTGAGCACTCTGCGCAGAGCATGCCGTCGTCGCTCGCGCCCTCTCCCCTGAGCACTCTGCGCAGAGCATGCCATCGTCGCCCATGCCCTTCTCTGCAGAGTGGGGAGGGCGGAGCATGGGGCAGAGCGGGTGGAGGGAATCGGCACCCCTCCTATTCTTTTATTCCTGCATCAAGTGAAACACATTTATCGTCTTGATAAGTAGAAATGAGCAGGATTTTACAATAGGTCAATATCTGAAATAGCATTATATGTCTTTCTTGGTAATGGCATGTAGAAGATAGGCTCATCAATAATTTTGAATTTGTATTTTCTGTACTATTATTATCTAAAAAAATTCTTTACTATTGGTCATCAACACATAAAGCAAAAACTTAAAGTCTGAAGGCTGAAGCTGCGTGATATAAATATACTTATAACGAATATTACCATGATCTGATAATTGTTGAGACATGACTCATGATAATTCTCCTTTTCTTTCTCTGCAACTCAGAAATAGAGTAATTTATATATTTCGAATATATGCAAGCCCATTGGATGTGTTAAGCTGTAGAACCTTAGATCTGCAATTTCCATTTGCATTTGGAAGGTGTAACATCCAGAGATGGTCTACTTTACAAGGGAAAACACAATTGTAGTGCAAGAAAGAGTCAAAATTCCACCAGTGCCCAACTATACATGTTCAAGCTTACAGGAGAATCTAGTTTTCCCAAATCGATCTTAAACCTAATAACAAACTGCAGCCATGTCATATCGGACCAACATCAGCGAGCTTAATACCATAAATTAACTAATTTCTTTCAGTGGCGGCATAGAATTTGACATTTTTATTGGCCTCTAGTGAGTCTATGCGTAAGCCGCCATAGTTCTTGGCCAAAAAATAGTTATATGCAGCCAGTACATAGTGACCTAAAACACATAATCCATTTTTCATAATATTTATATATATTTATATATATATATATATATATATATATATAGCTCAATAGAAGCAACTCCGAAAGACATAGAAGAATTTAAGATGCATATAGAAGAACTGTTGAAACTAGGAGCCATAAGAGAAAGCAGAAGTCCACATAGGTCTGCAGCGTTCATAGTAAGAAATCATGCAGAAGAAGTTAGAGGTAAATCTATAAATCATAGTAAGAAAGCGTGGTGGAACCTCCCCCAAACTCGACAACTTAAAAGTACATAATCTTGAGTCTGAAGAAAGAATTAATGAATATGAGCTTAGTGAGAATATAGACAACTATTAAAGGAAGAAATACTTAAAGAAGGAATTAAAGGAAGAAATACTTAAAGAATTTGTTTAATTCTATTTCTAATCCATTTCTTGTTTTAATTCTTTAAGTATTTCTTCCTTTAATTCCTTCTTTTGGCTTAAATTTATATGAATTTGGTGGGAACATTCTGAGCTTGTTGTCATCTCCAAATGTGAAGCATTCAATTCCGCTGTAATTCATTGATCTTTTCATACCTGCAATTCAGGTAAACGAGAAAGCATGTCAGGCAAATTATTATGCTTTCCCCTTAATATGTTGCAAATATGAACTTTATAGCCGTTTGCCTGTTATAATATCTTCAAATAAAACCCATCTTCTAGTTGAGCTTTTCTTGCTATTTAGCTGATTATAGTACCTACAAATGGCTTCACAATCGGTTCTAACCGTGAATTCTTTAAATCCTAAGTGGCATTGATTGCATTGATTATTGCCATGATCTCTCTATCTGTATTATTGACAGTTTTTAATTTATAACTTCCAGAAGCATATCTACATATTTTTTCTTCTGATTTAGCGGAAAATTTAGTAGGTCTTTGCTTTAATATAGCACCCCAACCGTGTTGTGATGCATCAGTTTCAATGATAAAGTAACTTTCTTCTAATGGTAATTCTAGAAGTTTTAATTCTTTCACCCTCTCTTTTATTAATCTTACTAATTTAATGTCTTCAGAATTAAAATATCTCTGACCATTTTTTCTTAATTTAGCATATAACGGTCCTGCTAACTTTGCTAAATTATTGATGTGATTTCTAGCATAATTTACAAGTCCTAAGAATTGCTGTAATTTCTTTTTATCATTCATAGCATCAGGGAATTGTAAAATTTTCTTAGCAATATGTTCTTGCAAATGAATTTTGCCCTCTCCTATTTCATGTCCAAGGAAGTTAATTTTTTCTTTGCATATTTCCATTTTCTTTTTGGATAATATTAACCCATTTTGTTCCACCTTTCTAAAAAATATTTCAAGATGAGCAATATGTTCTTTGTAAGTCCTTGAGAAGACTAACAGGTCATCTATGTAGACTAATATGAATTCTTGGTTTTCGTTAAATATATTCTGTATTTTCCTTTGGAAAATTGCTGGTGCATTTTTTAATCCTAATGGCATAACAAGCCATTCATAATGTCCTTGAGGACATGTAAATGCAGTCCATTCTATAGATTCTTCTGCCATCTTTACTTGCCAGAATCCAGCTTTCAAGTCAAATTTTGAGAAATATTTACTACCTTGTATTCTATTAATCCATTCTTGCTTATTTGGGATATTATAGGCATCTTCTATAGTATTATCATTTAGTCTTTTATAATTTATGACCATCCTAGATTTACCTCTAACTTCTTCTGCATGATTTCTTACTATGAACGCTGCAGACCTATGTGGACTTCTGCTTTCTCTTATGGCTCCTAGTTTCAACAGTTCTTCTATATGCATCTTAAATTCTTCTATGTCTTTCGGAGTTGCTTCTATTGGGCTAGTCTTAATAATATACTCTGGGTTTATTATATTAATTTTGCACTCAATAGCATTTTTTTCCCAATATTTCATAGGAATTTCTCCTATAATTTGGATATCTTCTAATCTTTGAATAATTTTTTCTATATCCCTTTTAGACTTAATATCCCTATACCAATTTGGTGCAAATGCTTATAGTCCTATGCACTCTATATTGGAATTTGATATATAATAGTTGTCTATATTCTCACTAAGCTCATATTCATTAATTCTTTCTTCAGACTCAAGATTATGTACTTCTAAGTTGTCGAGTTTGGGGGAGGTTCCACCACGCTTTCGTACCTCTGAGATATATGGAACATTATTTTGATATGGGATAAAAGTAATTCCTTGCTCATGTATTACTGTGGTTTGTACTGATTGTTGAAGGAACCTTAGGCCAATTATCATGTCATCATTAATCATTGACAAATCTCTTATTGTAATCTCATCTATTATATATATATATATATATATATCTAGCGATTCCTATATATATATTATTAATACATGTTTGGTAGATCAAAAGCAATCAAAAAATGTAGAATTCAGATAATGGGCGTGGAGTTGCGTGGGTTCAGAGATGGGCGTGGAGGTGGACCAGCGATCGACGATGTATCTACAATATATGAAATACTCTATTTGTATCAACAATAGATATGTGCACTAATTCATGAAAAATATTTTAAATATGTTTTGACATATTATTGCATTGTTTAATCACCAAAGACTTCCAGAGATTAAAGGTACTTGAAATCAACAGATCAGGAGCCAGGTTTGTGGATTCCTCATTCACCTCAAGCTTTGATGTCAATATTTTTTTTCGAAGATCTGATCTTTCCCGCAATATACTCATGTGAGAATCTCGATTGAAGAATCGAACACACGCCCAACGATTTTGCAATTTCCTCCCTATATTTCTATTTGCATTTGGGATTTGTGGAGAAGAGGGACCAAAAACTGACCTGTATCTGTGGTCGGCGTAGTAGGGGAGGTTGGAGAGCAGCGTCTCATTGACATCAAACATCCGCATGCTGCGCCGTCACTCGTAGCCCGTGCTAGGCGGTCGCCTCCCGTGCAACGACCTCAACGTTGGAACAGTAGGCCAGGTCGGTGAGGAACTCCCGCATGTAGCCGGCGCACTCCTCAGACACGGACTTCCATGTCGCTGGGTTGTTTTCCTCCCCCTGTGTAACGGATTAATTTTCATATCCTAGCGGTAAAAATATTCAAAAGTTTTCGATAAATGATATAAAATTTCTCACTTTAGATTTTGCCTGCGTTTGTTCAAGCTCCTTTGCATGGATCTTCTCTTCAGATTTTTGGTACAACTGAAAACAAGACAGCACTAAACCTGGTCAGCATAAGAGGGAAAAAAATGTAAATGAACATATGGATTAGCGCAATGCATTTTGGGTATAATATACCTTCTTCCTCTTCTCAGCACGCTCCTGCAACCTGAAACTAAAACCAGTGGCAGCAGCATTCTAGTGTTGAGCCACTGCTCAGGGAGTATTAGTACTCCTGCAAGTATAAATGAGCATGTTTAATTTCTTATTAACAATAACACAGGAGATAAAAAGGAGCAACTATGAAGAAAATAAGAATGCTTTACGATGTGGTGGAGTGCACATCATCCTCCATTCTCTGGCAGAATCTGTTGCAAAGCATTCGTGGTGTTCTCGTTTGACCTGATATGAAAGATCAACCATTTCAGGCCACGCAAACACCAAACAGCGCCATTATGAACTATCAGCGGAGCGGCAATACCATTTTCTTTTTGGCAAGCATCACAACTTGGATGCACATTAATTGTGTTGTGCTAACTAAACAACAACTGAAATTGCAATCCAGAAGAAAGAAAAGGACGGCCAAAATTGGTTGGTGACAGATTGACACTCGCTCTTGGGCTTCAGAAGAAGCATCATATTGAGGTGTGCCCAGTGATCCAGATTAACAGGCTATATCACATCACAGAAATCTGTAATTAATTTTTACTCAATTGCAACTTAAAATTGACTAATTTGTAACTTGTAGAATATCATTGAACTTGATGTCTAGATTATGTTCGGGAGCAGGATGATACTACAATACAAAAAGGGAGCACACAAATCCGTATTATTTCCATGCCAAAGTCCGATATTGGCTTCAAAAAATCAAGGAAAAGGAATAAATTGGTAGGTCACCATCGATGTCGTAGGAGATTCAGGATCAGCGATGTTGATAGACGCTGAGATAGCCTCGTCGCCTCCTATTTACCCTCATCATGGTTGGGGAGGATGGCCGACATTGGTTGGTATGGCCTAGATGCCGCCTAGGTCAGTTCGTCCTGGGAGCAGCGGTGGCGGCGACGGGGAAGCGGCATGGCGAGGAGGAGGAGGACGGGATGGGCAACGGCTGGGAAGCGGGGGGCGCTGGGATGGAGGCGTAAATGGGGAGGCGGCACGGTGGATGCGAGCGCAGCAGCGACTGAGGGATGGTGGGCGGCGATGGGGTCTCGCTGGACTCCGGTGGAGATGTGGTGGGAGGCTCGTGGAACGAGTCATGCGCGTGGATGGTGAACCGTGTGATCTGCAGGTTGGATCCTGGAAGAGATGTGAGCCGTCACAGCCCTCCTCATAACCCGAACAGAAGCTAGACATCAAGACAATGACGGCGACGAGGACCTCGACCTCGCCGATCCAGATATGCGCCTTGGCAGGAGCTCGCCACCTCGACCGCCCACCACCGTGGACCTCGCCTCCTCGACCGCTGCCACCCTCGATCTGCTCCATCCACAGCTTCCCGCAACAAGCAACCGCGGCGTCGCCTAAGAGCGATTCACGGCGGTGACGACGCAGTGGCGCGGTGGCGGCGCGACGGTAGCCAGGGGCGACTCACCTCCCCACACTGCCGTCGCTCCCGCCCCTCAGATCCGACATCGACGCGGTGGGGGAGGACGGCGATGGCGGCGCTGGGTCGGCGACGTGGTGGGGGAGGACGGCGATGGCGGCGTGGTGGGGGAGCGACGCGGTGGGGGAGCGACGGCGATGGCGGCGCTGGGGTCGGCGGCGTGGTGGGCGAGGACGGCGATGGGCGACGCGGTGGAGGAGGCCGGCGATGGCGGCGCTTGGGTCGACGGCGTGGTGGGGGAGCGACGCGGTGGGGGAGCGACGGCGATGGCGGCGCTGTGTCGGCGACTCGGTGGGGGGAGGACGGGGATTGGCGACGGCGGTGGATGCGATGGATGCGGCCGCGGCGGTGGATGCGATGGATGCGGCCGCTATCCCCCGATGCGTGAGGATGAGCCGAGGAGTTGGGTGCGGATCGTTGCGCCGTTGGATTTAGCTCATACTCCACGTGTCTGTCAGGGTCACCACGGAATTTTAAAGTAGTAGAGATTCTGTCAGTTAAAAAACAGAGGAGGTGAGGAGCGAGAAGGACAAATAGATACGTACGTACATGCATGGTGCATGTCTCATGTACGTTTCACGCCTTTTTATTTTTTAAAGATAATTCTAACTATATAAAATAATGGGTCTCTCATCTTTTAAGTTAAAATCGATAGTTAGACTTATTTTAGATTTTTTATGATTTTATCTGATTTATTATACTGTCACATGATGGTTACTAGCGCTTGTAGAATCACACGTGAAATGTATATGCTTGGCGCTCTAATAAATTAGAGAAATCCTAGAAAATCAGAGAAAAAAACATTCAACCATCAATTTTCACTTAAATTGGTTGACCCGTTATTTTAAATCGTTGGATTAGATCTATTAAAACTCCCACGTTGCTAATCTCCATCCAAAAAGAATAACGTATGTACGTATAGTTTGTACGATCGTCTCACTTTATGGAAAAAAAAAACTTAATCACATGCGTCATATACTATGGAGAAAAACGATAAATCAAAAAATATATCAATAGTAAAATCAAAGAAATACTAATCAAAGAAAAAAACATCAAACCGGCCGTCCGACACTTATGTGTTGTCAATAGCCTTTAAACTACAATTTTACTAAAAATAATACTACACAGAAATAAGTAGGGGGCAAAAATTATAACTATTTTTTTCACCTCCTCCTTTCTGTCCCTCTCCGTCCTTCAATGTAGGGTATAGTATTTACTATGCTATCGTAAATATTGCAAGGGTATACTTATGGTTGAGTTAAGGTGGCATCGGTGAAAGGCTACTGTAGGCAATGCATATAAAGGGACATACTAACTAATAGAATCATTTGTGGGTGTGCCAATAGTGAATTAAGTGTTAAATGATGCTATAGGCTGGTCTTTTGGGGTACGGCTACGTCGATGTGGGACTGATGTTTCAGGGCATTACATAAGAAAGCTTTGGCAGTTATAGTCGATTTTATCCGTTAAATAGACATTCATGTCTATTTTTAACGTTGTTATTGTATTATTCGATTGAAGTGGTATGTTTAGACTATTTATACATAGATGTGGAAATAAGTGATGAACATGTACTAATAATGTATAATTTATTTTAGTGGTATTAATGTCGTTTTATTAAAAATGCACATAGCTTTTGAAGCAAGAACAATAGAGGAGTTTATATATGACCACGACAAAGGAATTTTTATTTAAATATAAGAGATATTCTTATTCTTATTATATTTAGTAGTATATTAAAATCTACCATCTATTTTACGGTAAATATATATTTTTTTATTGTCAGATAATTTACATTTCCTTAATTACAGTGTATATAGTGATGTATGATTTATTTTACCATTCTTTTTCTTGAACAACAAATATTCTCTGGCTTATATCCCACCCTTATAGTGTTTGCAATACAGCCCTACGATACATACCCGCGCGAATGCGCGGGCTACCTTGTTTTTTTTAAAAAAAATTATAAAATTTTCAAATAAGACGAACGATCAAACATTGGACACGTATACTCATGGCTACACTTACTCCCTCCGTCAAAAAAAAAGATTTATATTCTAGTATAACGAATATAGACAGATGTATGTTCCAATTCGTTATATTAGAATGTGTCATATTTGATATTAAATTGGTTTTTTATTGGATGAAGAAAGTATTTTGAAACAGAGGGTAGTAGTATAGATATATACCGGATACGCCGCCTGTGCAGCCGTCCCGGTGTAGTGGCGTCACTGCCACAAGACTGGCCAGCCCGTTGGCTAGCCGCGAGTTTTGCTGCTCTCACGAAAAGACGAGAGCAATAGGCGGCTTTGCTGCACAGCGCTCGCCGGTGCATGAGAAGTGTAGAAGCTGTGAAAGCAAGAGGACAAACCACCCCAACTAACTCCATGCTCCTCCTTTCTCTCGCTGTGGCAGCGAAGCTCTGAGCTACCCTCTCCCTCTCTCTCTCTCCTCATCACGCTACCTGACCATTCAGCGTAGCGCCATCTGGACGCTGCCCCCGGGTTCTCTCTCGCGCGTCGCGTGCCTCGTCTCATGCGCTGTATGCTCTGCTCTGCCTCTTCTCGTCTCGTTTATCCGGTGACTCTAGTCTCTTGTGTGATACGGACCAAATAGGGAGAAGGCACGGTGTTCTTGGCTGCCTTTTTTCTCCTCGAATTACGAAAGGTCCTCTGATTTATGCACGGTCTAGCTACATCTACATGGTTCCTGCTCCTTTTGATCGGTTTTGCCCTGGCGTGCCAGCAACCGAGAAGATGACCAGGAAAGCTCCAGGTAATCAACGCGAATGCTTTGCTTGTGATTCAATGATGCACAAAAGAAGAACACAATTAAGTTAGCAAGTACTGAAGGATACAGATTTACACATGGGGATAAGCATTTATGAGCCGCTGTAAGCCACCCCAAAAAGGCAGAAAATTGCAGCTTGTTATTACTGCTATCTTGTTGAAAAGAAGAAGCATTTGTCGAAGCTTCCAAAAACGCAAATGGCAAATGCCAAAGCAGTAGTACAGCTAGCTGAGCCTTGAGTAGTGAGAGGTGAAACAGGCAAGGCGACACGCCAAGCTCATCACCCTCCTCTTTGTCGCAGCTTTACCTCAATAGCAAGTCCCACAGCTAACCAATCCTTCTCCGCGCCCGCTTCTTCTTCCATGGACGCCGCCGCCGCCGCCGTCTCCACCCTCTCCGCGCTCGCCGTCTTCGCGAGCACCCTCGACCACGGTGGCTCGCCATGGCTCTCTTTTCTTCTTGATTAGTTGATTTCCTCATCGGCTTCTTCTTCTTCTTCTTCTTCTTCTTCTTCTTCTTCTTCTTCCCGGCCGTCGCGTGACGTAGAACGGGTTCTTTCTTGCGTCGATGCATTGCAGGCGCCGTGAGGAGCGTGCACGGGTACAAGGTCTACGGGAGGGGAGGGAGGCGGAGGTGGGAGAGGTGGGTGGAGAGGGAGTTCGTCCTCACCCCGGCGTCGTGCCGCGAGGTCCCGGCCCCCGTCGCGCCGCCACGGATACTGCCGGCGGAGTGGCGCGGCCGGCCGGCGTACCGCGAGGGGCAGGTGGTGGCGGCGGGAGCCTGGCGCTGCATTCTGGCCTTCGATTCCGCCGCCGCGCCGCCGCGCACGCCGCCGCCCGTGCTCTCCCCCTTCCTGTACGGTGATCGCATCGCATATAAACAACGAACCGATTCCGACGCACGGTCGTTGCACGATTTTGATTGCCTCCACAACTGCTTCAGTTTGCAATCTACTCCTATCATCCTATCACTGAGATCAAGTGTTGAAAGCTTCGGTTTTGTTTTCTCTTCTTCTGTTTTTGACTTTTCAGGAATCCGAGGTTGATGTGTGTGCCTTCCCTGTACAACGACCTGGAAAAGGTGTTTCGGTTTCAGAATGTAGAGAAGATCCCCAAGCTCATGCAGTGTGATTCGGAGGAGAAACTGAGCAGTTGGGATGCACGGGATAAAAGTTCTGATGAGGTTCATGCATCAGAGTCTGATTCTGATGATGATCTCCAATCTGGTGAAGGTGATTGATCCCCTCCACTGGAATCTGTTGGTAACTGTAAATTTGGTTAGCAATGCATTCTCTCTGTTTCTCAGTGGGGGTTGCTACTGATCAGCTGGTACAACATCTTATTCTACTTTGATTCTCCCTAGTAAAGAAAATTGGTGGTGGAAAAATAGAGAAATGCTTCAGATTTTCATTCTAGTTTGTAGCAGCCAAACTTTATGGTCGAGGAAAGGGGCAGGTAGAGTGAAACTGGCATATCCTTAAGACGGTTTGGCATTGCTGTTTGGTTGCAGGAATGTTGATTAGATTCCCAGGAATCATGGAGTAATCCTAACTAATTTCCATGTTTGGTAAAACCACCTGGAAATGTAAATCAGGAAAATAGGATTCGGTGTAAACAAGATCCAAGTAATGCGTGGCATTAGGATTCCTTTTTAAACATGTGTCTACCCTGGATTACCCACTGGACGGAATCTTGTTGAACTTTGTTGACACGTGCGCTCCCAATAATGCCGCATTCGTTACTACCTGATTCCCATGGTTAAGGGCAAATGTCTAAGGGAAATTATTTCCCACCCCTCTTTAAATCTTAACCATTCATTCTTCCTCATCCATTTAATCCTAACCCTTCATTCATTTCCCAATCCCAATTCCACCCCTCATTTCCCATTATCCAAACACACCCTAAGATTACCATCCATCTCAATTTCCTGTAACCAAACATCCAAAATTGTATTGCTCATTTCAAAATTTTAAAAAGTATATATACCTTTCAGAGGTTTGAGATTTCATATTGTTTGGATTGTTTCGTGCTTCCTTTCTATTTACTTGAAAGGTTACAATTAATCTCTATGGGATAAATGCAGAAGAAAAGCCAACAGTTCAGAAGCAGCGGAGAGCTAACAAGAAGCATATAGCCAGCATTACTCTAGTTGACATAGCTCAGTACTTCCATCTCCCAATCAGAGAAGCATCAAGGACTCTGAAGATCGGAGTCAGCATACTGAAGAGGAAATGCCGGCAATATAACATACCCCGCTGGCCTCACCGGAAGATCAAGTCCCTTGATTCCCTCATTCAAGATCTTGAGGTAAATCTGGCAGCACCCTCCATGTATAATTCAGTTCTTCACCTACGAAATTGTTTTTACTACTAGACATTGATGCAGTTCTGACACCAACACATCACATATTTCCTACAGTATGTGATTGATGATGGTGATGATCATGATGACACGGGAGATGATGTGCAGCAGGAGAAGCACAAGCAGACGGCAGAGGAGAAGCAGGAGGCGATCATGGCGCTCACAAGGCGGAAGCAGATGCTGGAGACCGAGAAAGAGACCATCCAGCAGATTCCTGCCATGGACCTGAAGGTAGAAACCAAGCAGTTCAGGGAAGATGTTTTCAAGAGGAGATACAGAGCAAAAAAAGATTTAGCCAACGATTAGCTTTGCTCTCTCTCTCTCATGTGTAGCAATGTAGCATGTAGGAAAATCATTAGACAGTAGGAACTGGTGGCCGGTGCGTATCAAAACTGGTCAACTGTATCCGGTTAACTTTACCTGGTGGGAACAGATTATAAGTGAACATTGTTTACCGCCAGCTTCTCAACGTCAACGGGGTGATGTTGGTGGTTGTTTTGTTTCAGTTTTTCTATGACTACGTCGTTATTCATCTGTCCACATCTGTCCACGAATATAAATGTTTTAAACGTTTAAAATTTATCTATAAATATTAGAATTCCTAGAGTCCTATTGCCGGATCAATCATCTCTGATTTAAATTTTAAGTGAATTGCACTTTAGGACACCTTTTGTTACCTACATTTCACTTTGGATCACCATCTATCAAATCTTTTTACTCTGGGCTAGGTTATTTCTTTACCTTTGTTGCGTGAGCTGCATGTAAATAGGGAATATCATCAGCATGAGAGTGCCAATGTGCTTGATTCTGTTGTGCTCACAAAGAGAGTTTGGGTGGTCCAAAATACAAAAATGATAAAAATACCTAGTTCATGAAAAAAAATGGATATATGGTGGTCCAAAGTGAACTAGGGTAATAAAAAAGTGACTCAAAGTGTAATTCACTCTTTAAATTTTGATTTCAATCTTATCCCGAAATCATCCTTATTTAATAATAGAGCACCAAAGTATTTTCTTCTCAATATATAAATAACTATATTTGTAAACGGATGGAGTATCACACATGATAAACTTATGACAAACATAACTATGTATGTTTTGCCCAGGTGGATTGAATCCTCCACGCCTCCACCATGCCAACTTCGATACTCCAAACACCCCCAGCATGCCAACTAATTTATGTTGCTTATATTAAATAATTTAAACATTATAAGGCGTCGGATAGACCTGCCGGGGTTTCAAAACCCAAAAAAAGAAAGAAAAAAAAAGAAAAGGACGCTGGCTAGACCTACTACCAAACGGTCATTGCAGGCCGAAAGGAGTTTTATTTTAGAAAAAAAAAGAGTAAATTGACTTGTATAATCAACTTTTCATCCTAGAGCTCAAATGTCACACATACATCGATAGTATAGTACTCCTCTAATTCATATTATAAGATATTTTATTTTTTTCTAAACGGATTAACTTTAACTAAGTTTATAAACAAATACATTAATATTTTTAACACAAAATAACTATTAGTTTTAATAAAAATAATTTAGTATTATAGATGTTGCTATGTTTTTTTATTAAATATAGTCAATCCTGGAAAAGTTAACATGTAAAAAAAGTCAAAACCGTTTTATGATGTGTATCCGAAGGAGCCAGCAGTAGTGAAGTGCGAGTACGAAAAAGATAGAGGCAAGTAAAACGACACGACCCAAAAAGAAAAAAAACAAACACACGACAATTATGAGCACGAGGCTGATCAAATAAGCAGGATACTCTGAATGACAAAAACGACGGATTCACCGGGCATAAATCACCTGTTTCATTAGAGTAAGAATAATAGTCAACTATAAATTTATATGGAAAAAAAAAGATGAGAAGCGTTGGCTCTTATGAAAAGCTAGATATATATACATGCTCCAAGATACTTACATTGAATTTATAATGAGAGAAAAAGAAAAGAACCAACCTATTATACTATATTTGTTTAAAATAATTGTAATTCTAAGGTTTGAGAAGAAAGACTAGTGGTTAAGGGTAGAATAGAAAGAAATTTAAATAAGAAGTGATTGATGGGATAATTAATATTCTATTGTGATAATTATTTTTGGAAATTTAAATTCTAGAAATATAATTATTATGGAATGGAGTTAGTATATTAGCTTTAGTATAAGAAAAAGGTAGTTATCTATATCACTCCGTATTAATTAAAACTTGCACTTAATATACGCCCAGGCCCAGCCGGCTGCAAGTCTGCAACACAAACAACCCGTGTCCGTGTATACGTGTAGTCCGCTGTCCGCGTGATGTTATTGTTACCAGTTGAACCGCGTATAGAGATCGCGTCAGCGTGCGCGGGGAATATATTAATCAACCTGAAGACCTCCATCGTAAGTGAAAAAATCAACGTTAAGACGATTTTAATACTCCAAACAGGCGTGGTTATGTTCGTTTCATGCGGTTGAGAACCCAACTCCCTGTATGAAAAACGGAACAGTCCATTAATATGTGATTAATTAAGTATTTACTATTTTTTAAAAAAATAGATTAATTGATTTTTTAAGCAACTTTCGTATAAAAACTTTTTACAAAAATGTACCGTTTAGCAGTTTTAAAAACGTGCGCGTGGAAAACGGGAAAGAGAAGTTGGGAACCTGCCCAAACGAACAGAGCCTAAACAAACGAGAGTTGATTAATTAGCGCCGTAAAAGTGTGAAATGGTGGTACCATTAAAGGTCGCCGGCCGTGTCAACGCTTTTAATAAGTTACTAATTAATAACTTGAGATTGATTAAGTGCTAATAGCAAGTTTAATAGTATAGCCAACTACTAGCTCCAAATTATTTATAATCAATTTAATAGTTAATTCATACAATAGTTATCTATAAACATATACTACACCAGTAATATCTGGTCCCACCTATCATACATATTATGTTTATGTCTAGTTTGTGCTATAGTTGGCTATAAATTTATAACATGTTATTCTTATCTCTTCTTATTTATCTCCTATCTACTACCAGGAGATGGCAATCTGCATCAGATATTGAGGTCTTTGACCAAAGTCACCAAACTAGCCAAACATGACAGATCGACTAAAAGTATTACCTTTTTCTTTTTTATCTCGATCCATCAAAGCCGTAAACTTTTCACGAAATCCAATCGGCCGGAATGAGGTTAAAGCTCAAACCTGTGCAGCAAAAGTGCAAAAGCACTCGTAATTTGTTAACGTTACTTAGTAGTGGGGGTAGGCTTTCATCCGGGGATGCTTATAGGGTGTGTTTGGATAGAGGGATATGGGTGGATAGGACATGGCCGTCTATTTTTTGTGGGTGTTTGGTTGCTGGGCAGGGGTGGGATGGGGCGGCCTGAGAAGGAATATTCCCCCAGATGCTGGATAGAGGGATCCGGCCGATTTGTCCGGATCTAGCCGCCCAAGCGCCCGGGCAAGCTGGGCGAGCGAGGGAGGCGGTCCCGTGACTCGCGTCACCCCGGGCGCTGGCGCGGGACGGCGGGATGCGGGCGCGGCGGCTGGCGCTGGCGCGGCGACGAGAGAGGAGGCAAGCCGGCGACGACGACGACGGTGCGGGCGGCGATAGCCGCGTCGGCGGGAGGCGGCGGCTGGCGGGAGGAGGCGGCCAGCGGGAGTAGGCGGCCGCCGGCGGGGGAGGCGCGAGCTCGGAGACGCCTGCCGGTGACGACAACGACGCGGACCCGACGACGACGACGGTGCAGACCCGACGACGACGACGATGCGGACCCGACTACGACGACGGTACGGGCGCCGAGAGCGCGTCGGCGGGAGGCGGCGGCGCCTGCGGCCGGCGGGACAAGGCGAGCTCGGCAACGAGAGAGGAGGCGAGCCGGCGACGACCGGATCTGGGGAGCGCCAGTGAGAGAGGGCGAGCGGCGGTGGCCGGGGAGAGAGGAGGTGAGGCGGCGGCGGCGGGAGAGAGAGGAAGCGCGGCGGCGGGGTTGCTGGCGAAGACCTTCGGCGAGGGGCGGCCGGCGATTCCGAGAAGGATTTTTTTCCTTTTTTTTTCCTTCCCTTTTATTTCTTTCTGCTTTTTTATTTCTATTTAGATTTTTTTAGTAGATTGATATTTTTTGGGTGAGAATTTGGAGGGTTATACTCACCGGGTGATTGCAACCACTCATCTATCCCACTCCCCCAACCAAATAAAAAAATGGATCACCATATCCACTTTCATCCCTACAACCAAATAAAAAACTGGATCGTCATATTCACTCCACCAAAAAAAAACTGGATCATCATATCCAGCAAAATATGAATCACCATATCCCATCCAACCTTCCGAGAACCAAACACACCCTTAGCTGTGATGTGCGAATGACCTTTAGGAGGTTCTTGACCCACGGTGTGTTCGTTTGAGACTTGCCACGGGAGGTACGTCAAAATATGTTCAGACTAGGTAATTTGAGACTTGCCATATCGGGGTCAACGGGTCTGAGAGCGAAGAAATTACTTGTTTAAAGAGTAAAATAATTTTACGGAAATTTTATAGGGGATTGAGCTATGGAGTACTAATTCATGTAAAATTCATATAAACCTAGGGGATTACCCCTATGCAATTTTTGGTGATGCTAGATTTTGAGATAGAATTAGATTCATCATACAGTTCACAAATTTTATTTCTAAAGATACAATAGTATTTTTTCACACAAATATATTTTAAATGTAGCATTTGATTTCATATACAGCTTATGTTAATATAGATTTAACTGTATTCATGTATAGGACTATATCGATCAATCTACACTATTAGATTTTAAGTATAGAATTAATTTCATATACAACTTGTACTTTCCATTTTAAACAGAAATGGATTTCATGTATACTATATACAACTAGCATGGTGGCCCGCGCAGATTGCGCAGCTAGCATCATTATATTTTCTCTCATATAATAGCATATAGTATGTTTTTTTCTTTATATTATTCAAATATATTAAAACGACAGCAAAATTTTAAATTTTGTAATAACTTTACAAAACTACTAATCTGTAAAATTCATATTGTATTTTATATACGTGTTAGTTATTAATTATTTTTAATATCAAATTTTAGTTATTTGTAAATTATATATATTAACTCGTTTTTTAATATTTCTTTTTTTTAATTCCGAATTTTCTGTAAATTGTATTTCTATATAGACTATATGCTCTTCTTCCAATATTATTTATTTTTATTTTTGAATTTTTATTATTTTTAATTGTATTTCTATGTGGACTCTAAACTAATTTTTAATTTCGAATTTCGGTTACTTCTAAATTGCATTCCTTTATTGACTTTGAACTCTTTTTCCCATGTTTTTATTAATTTCGAATTTTAGTTATTTGTAAATTATATTTTTATACGAACTCTAAACTCTACTTTTATTTTTTTTATGTTTATTCCAAATTTTAGTTAGTTTTAAATTCCTATATGGACTCTATACCCTACTTCTAATATTCCTTATTTTTTAATTCCCGAATTTCTATTTTTTTCTTAATTGTATTTCTACATAGAATCTATACTCTACTTCTAATATTCCTTATTTTTAATTCCAAATTTGTATTATTTTCTAATTGTATTTCTATATGGACTCTATACTCTAATTCTAATATTCCTTATTTTTAATTACCAATTTCAGTTATATCCTAATTGTATTTCTATATGGACTCTATGCTCTACTTCTAATATTCATTATTTTTAATTCTGAATTTCAGTTATTTCCTAATTGTATTTCTATATGAACTCTAGTCTACTCTTCTAATATTCCTTATTTTTTAATTCCGAATTTCAACTATTTCTAAATTGTATTTCTATATGGACTCTGTCTTTTCTTTTTCTCCGATTAATGTGAGAATTTCTAGGTCATGAGAGCGAACATGGAGGCTCTTTTTTCTATTCCTTTAATAATATAATAGATTGTATATATCGATCAACACTACTACAGGAGATGCTTTTCCAAGACGGATGGAACCAGTCGACTAGAGCTAGATGCCTGTAAGGAGGGCACCGCAACCACACGTAAAAATGGATTTTCGCATACGGGAACGTTACAACGCCTGACTGCAAAAGGATTTTTGTGAAAAAATAAAAATTCTAAAAAATTATTCTAGAAACCCTAGCCCAATCCCAACAAAAATCCACCGCCGTCACGGACCGCCAACATCATTGTAGCTGTAACTGACCTCCTCGACATCAGAACCACAGTTCCAATCTCCATGTCGCCGACTCTAGCATCACTGACATTGTCGACTCCGGATTCGCCATCCCGACCTTTCCAAGGCCATCCTGAGCTTGCCGCCATTGGATCCGTCACTCACATGCATGGCTATCGTTGACCGAAGTCGCTGCCAACAGCCCGCCGCGCGCCTCCTCCTCCACCGCTTGAAGCGGATGCTGCCGGGAACGGGGGGAAGCGAGGAAAAGGAAGATGGCATCGGGAGAGAGGGAGGGGAGGGTAAAATGAGACTTAGTCTTGTTCGACCAGTATGGAGGTGAGTACTTATATTTTGTCCCTATTTTCTGAAACGGGTCTCTAATAGCACAGCATGTAACTTTTTTTAATATAGTGCAATTTATATACCATTATAATTTGTCATTGACGCGATATAATGCTATAATCTTTTCTTCTTTTAGTGATGTATGAATTTTTAGGCCTCAACATGAACATAGTGTCTTATTTAATTTCAAGCTATATTAATAGATAGATGTATACCTTCTAAAGGAGCTCTTAAGTAAGAATATTCAGTTTGTTCAACGAGATGTTTGATGCCTTCCAACACATTTGTTTGTCAAGTAGAGGTGAATTCTTCCGTGTCTGTCTGTAAACCGACATGTCACCTGTCGAAGATCACTTTAATTTCTACCCCCGAATTGGCTACAAAAGCCGAAACGACAAGTTGGATGGATGCTTGGATAGATCATAAATGGATGGCTGAAGGGGAGCAAACTAGCAAAGATCAGGCTTAGAGCATTAGACCCGCCCAAAATAGGACAGGTCTTTCTTAGTCCTCGGGGACTATTCCAAACGGTGAAGCACACTGCCTCCATTATTTTGTATACAGTTTCCAATTCACGTGTTTGGATACCGACATACAATTTCATATTCGCGTGTTTTATCATTACATTTTCACCATATATTTATAGAAGTCATTAAAAAGTATAACTTTATGAAAGAGTTTTTCATATCAAATCTTCTAATATTTTTGCATCTATTGATAATTTAAAATTTTGAGATTTGGCTGTAAACATTATAGGAGGGAGTAGTTTCTATACTAAAGTGTACTTAGCATGTACTATCTGTTACATTATTAACATAATGGGAGCACAATGGGCTTGATTACAATAGAATATCATTCAATATAGCTATATATAAAATACAATTGTATTTTCGAAACAAAATCAAGAGTTGTGCATGAAATTGAATGAACTGTACTCTTCGTGAAAACTACTCGAGAAAATCTACTGTTTTTTTAGTGAATTCTCAAAATTTAAACGATTGGATTCAGGTCCAAAATACTTATTAAGGGTGTGTTTTTTTTCCAAAGGAATGGAACCATTCCATTCAGCGGCATATCTCCCACACTTCTATGGGTGTAATTTTCTCAAAAACTTTGTATATATGAATTTATTAAAAAAAACTGTTTTCAAGGCCATTTTGATCTTCCCCGCAAAAAAAAAAGGCCATTTTGATCTTTGTAATAACTCAATAACTTATAAAAAAAATCATTATTCAGCCATTCAGCTATTTAGAAAAAAAAAAACAAAAGGACAAGTATTGAGTTGACCCTGGAGCTAGTACTAGTCCCCAAAGCCCCAGAACGACAGCGCCATCGGATCGGAAAGGTCTCCATACCGCGTAAGCCTCGGTATCCGCGCGTCGGCGCGGCAAGACAAGCGGCGATGCTTTATACAAGTATAGAAAAGCCCGGGATGCCGAGTCGAGAAGCGCTCTAGCTGCTACTGAATGACAAGAAAGAAAATCAATTAGCGTCTCGCGTATTACTCGCCTAGTTTCAGTAGGCAGCGAGGTGGCGATCGAACAATCTACTCGATTCGATCGAGCTTCGCTCCCAGCTCTCCCATGGGGAACTGCTTCGGCTCCGAGGAGGCCGAAGCTGCTGCGACCGTGAGGGCACCAGCTCAAGGCCACCATGGACGCCGGCAAGGTACGTATTCAAATGCTTGTGGCATTTCTTTTTCCCTTGGTTCTTAAACAGATTCTGATCAAATTTCGAACCTCGCAGCAGAAGCAGCAGCTCCAGCAAATAGGCGTAGTCCCATCATGGCACCGCCCAAAGCGCTTGCCTCCATGAGCAGCGCCGCCGGGCATCACTCCGGGATGAGGTCGAGCTCGTCCATGAGCAGCATCACCACCAGAAGCAGCAGCAGCAGCAGCAACCTGCCCCTGGGAGCAGCCGGCGGCGCGGACGTCGGCGTCGCCGGGGCGCTCTACCCGGAGCCGGAGGGGAGGATCCTGGAGGTCCCCAACCTCCGAATCTTCACGTTCGCGGAGCTCAGGGCGGCGACGAGGAACTTCAAGCCGGACAGCGTCCTCGGCGAGGGCGGGTTCGGGCGGGTGTACAAGGGGTGGGTCGACGAGAGGACGATGAGCCCCGCGCGCAGCGGCACCGGCATGGTCATCGCCGTCAAGAAGCTCAACCCCGAGAGCGTGCAGGGCCTGCAAGAATGGCAGGTAAATTCGTTCGTTCACAGCTCGCCATCTGCAGCGCTGACCGATCGCGGTGTTAACGTCAACTTGTTTTAGACAGCACGAAAACGGATAAACAGTATCATAATCACACGCATGATTCAAGCTGATCCGGAAATGATCCTTAAAGAAATCGGTAGAAAGGCATCAATGATTGTAGCCGCGGTTTAAGCTTTGCACTGGATTATTCCACCTCCAAACCATACCGTGTGCTTCTTCTTCTTCTTCTTTTTTTCCTAGAGAAACCATGCCGCGTGTTCACGTGGCCGGCCAGGCAGTCATCCGCAGTTCTGAAATGTTCATATACTATGAAGCTACTTGACCACTTCCTTTCTCGCTGCGCATACTATAAACTGGAGTAGTTGCACGCGCCATGCTGTGAACTACGCTGTTCTGTGTGTGTGCGCGCGCGCGCGCGTGTGGCGATTTTACTTTTTTTTTGTTTCTACGCGCCGCCTCAAAGCTGCGGGACGGCGCGTCGTGATCGGCACGTTGGCTGCTGCATGTCTGCGTTTGGGGCTCGTGCTTGCTGAGCTAATTAACCTGGTGACGTTTCTCTTTGCAGTCTGAGATAAACTTCCTGGGGAGGCTGTCGCATCCCAACTTGGTGAGGCTGATCGGGTACTGCGTGGAGGACAGGGAGCTGCTGCTCGTGTACGAGTTCATGGCCAAGGGCAGCTTGGAGAATCACCTCTTCAGGAGTGAGTTTAATTTGCTTCTCCTTCTTCTTCTGTCCTGTCACGGTAGATGGTTCTTTGTTCTTGTCTTTCCGGTATGTTTCTTTGCCAGCTACGAGCTTAATTGAACCCGTTGACCTTAGGTCAGATTTTGGTTCTCTTGGTCGACAGCGATGCTGGATTGGTTTATGATTGATGTGGTCTCATATCGTCGCGAAAATAGGTTTGCCCCCTATACAGCCAACGAAAATAGGTTCTGAGTTGCGTAGCACAGTGGCTATGTGGGTCTGACCAGAATATTCAGATTTCTGGGTCAATTTGTCAATAGCGTTCTCACTCTCCCTGCTCAACATGGCCGTGTCAATTTCTACGGGCCAAACAGGCTAGCATGTTGCAGGGCTTTATTGGGCCGAAATTTATCGGTATAAAACCGTAAGATTATAAACTAGAAGTGTATAAAACCGTAGTTTTCCGTAAGATTATTGTGACAGCAAAGTGAACTAACACCGAGCATATTGCTTGCAAGCAGAAGGCAGCGCCTACCAGCCGATCTCGTGGAACCTCTGTCTCCGCATCGCCATCGGCGCCGCCCGCGGCCTCGCGTTCCTGCACTCGTCGGAGAGGCAGATCATCTACCGCGACTTCAAGGCCTCCAACATCCTCCTCGACACGGTACGTAGTACTCCTACTACGTATGTACGCGCAAAAATTAAAACCGCCATGGCTGCCACGCACGTGGTACACGCGAAGCTGCACCTGCACGTAGGAGTAATCATTAACGCCAAGCTCAACTCGTTCTCCTCCCTCCTGTACATGGGCAGCACTACAACGCCAAGCTCTCCGACTTCGGGCTCGCCAAGAACGGCCCCACCGCCGGCGAGAGCCACGTCACCACCCGCGTCATGGGCACCTACGGCTACGCCGCGCCGGAGTACGTCGCCACAGGTAAATCACGCACGAACACGACAGCTAATGTTGTGCTAATTTCACGTGACAAATGTAACCGGAGAGGAATCGTGTATCAATCAATTTATTATGCAGGGCACCTGTACGTGAAGAGCGACGTGTACGGGTTCGGCGTGGTGCTGCTGGAGATGCTGACGGGGATGCGGGCGCTGGACACGGGGAGGCCGGCGCCGCAGCACAGCCTCGTGGAGTGGGCCAAGCCGTACCTGGCGGACCGGCGGAAGCTGGCGCGGCTGGTGGACCCGCGCCTGGAGGGGCAGTACCCGTCCAGGGCGGCGCAGCAGGCGGCCCAGCTCACGCTGCGCTGCCTCTCCGGGGACCCCAGGAGCCGGCCCTCCATGGCCGAGGTCGTCCAGGCCCTCGTGGAGATCGAGCGGATCAGGTCGCGTCCCAAGGCCGCGTCGTCGCGGGAGGACGCGTCGCCTCGGGTCCCGACGCGGAGTGGTGGGCACGGGCACCACCATCACCACCACTCGTCGCGGCCGAGGTCTGGATCGGACGGCGCGCGGAGCGGATACCCTTCTCCTCGAGTGAGATAGCCCCGTCGAGGCCCCAACATACGCTGGGTTTGGACTTTCGGCCCAAATTATCTCCGTACGTTTGCAGATTGCGGTTGGCCCAAAAGTTGGTGGCCTAACTGCTAGGGGGGGTCAGTAAGGTGCTTTGTCTAAACCTTCTGAAACAAAGAAGTGGAATGTGATGTTTCCATGAATCGAGAACTTCTTGTGGATGAGATTGTGGGGGATGAGTACAGTATACGAGATATTAGGACTATAGGAGTAGTGACAAAATTTTAGAAATGTCATTGTCGACTTTTTTGAGCTTAAAGTAGTCTTGAATGTGAACAGAAGCTGCTTTTAGCACTGAGAAATGGGCAACATATCCTATGCACACAGGCCCTCACGTGTACACACGTGCACAACAACTAAAAAATGTCACCTAAAAATCTAGAAAAAATCATACACATACTTTCAATTGTATTACACCTAAGGTTAAAATCTCAACGTCAAATTCATTATATTTTAGCCGTAACTAAAAAAAAACAAAAAATCTGACAGTTTTAAGGTTGCAATTTTGTCAGAATTTTATATTTTTTTGTTATTCTCTATGTAGAATGAATTTAAAGATGCGACTTTGCACGTAGATGTAATACTATTGAAAGTACATGTATGAATTTTCCTAGAATTTTTTGTGATAATTTTTAGTTGGTGTACACGGTGTGTACACGCGAGGGCCTGTGTGCATAGGATACGCTCCCCTGAGAAAAGAAGTAGCAATTACTAGGCCTTTTGAGCTGGAGATGGATTCTAACTTTATTGTATGTCAATTAAATAATTATAGAAAGTTTTTTAAAAAAGTAATAAGATATATTGATATAATATATCACTCCAGAAACACGCAATATTAGATACAATTTTTTATAAATTGTAACAAAAATAGCAAATTACTTACATATTACATTATTACTATGAATTTATCTTGTTAAATTGTCTTAAAAAATTATTACTTATTTAGTTGACATGTAAGAAATGAGTGGATATCATATCTAGGTGATTAAAAGTGTTTCACCTTATGAGCTTTGTGAGTCTCAACATGCGTATAGACATATCTAGGATTCATAGCTACAGTTAGGTTTATATGTCCCGAGAAAGCGAGCATATAGCAAAGGTCGGAGCCCATATGCCTGTCTATCGCGTTCCTCGTCCTACCATTCGTGTTCTTCGGTGATATTGTCCAGCTCTGGACATTCCCGAGTTCACACTTCACACCCCCCATCTCCCAGTTTCTCCTTATTTGGGATACGGTGCTTCACGTGCAGCTCTCGTCGGGTGTCGAGGATCGTCTCGTTTGGCACTGGACGTCTGACCAGCGCTACTCAGCACGTTCGGCATACCAAGCATTTTTCTATGGCCAGCATTCTTTTGCATGTGCTGATCTTCTCTGGCATGCAAAGGGTCCTGCTAAATGCAGGTTCTTTCTTTGGTTTGCTTTCCAGCAGTGCTGTTGGACAGCTAATATCCTTCAGAAGCATGGTATCGATAGTCACTTGGTCTGCCCCTTCTGCGTCCAGGATCTTGAGACAGCGAATCACATCCTCCTCGACTGTGTGTTTGCTCGACAGGTCTGGCTCCGCGTGCTTTCGCCTCCTGGGTGGGCTGCCCTCTCTCCCCCCGCGGTAGCTGGTTCCAGGACTGGTGGTCGTCCTCCAGGGCCTGCTTACCTGAGCATCTCCGCGACGGTTTCGACTCCCTGGTGCTGCTAGTTTCTTGGCAGTTGTGGAAGGAGCGGAACGCTAGGGTTTTTGACTCCGCGCTCTCTTCTGTCTCAGTAGTTTTGGAGTCCATCCACTCGAAGGGTCGTCTGTAGTCTTTAGCTGGCGTTGCCATTTTTGGGGATTTTTTGGGAGTTTAGCGTGCCTTAGCACCCTCCCCTTGTCTTCGGTTTTCTAGAGTTTTTTTTTTGTTTTTTAGCAGCCGTGGTTCCTTTCTAAGCTTCAGTTTTCTATTTTTGCTTTTTCTCCCTCCCCTGGCATAAGCCAGTCTGACTGATCGCGTCGTGTAACTTAAATTCTTTTCTTCTAATATATTGACGTGCAATCCTTTTGCGCGGTCGCGAAAAAACACTTCACACCGCCGGATGTCCAATCCTGATAGAGCTGTTCACATGCGTCGTGCGGTGGTGCCCATGCACGCATCTCGATCGATCGCCCGGTCACATAGCGAGCAGCGATCAACATACACAAATGTTGATATCACCCGCCTGGCCGCTGCTATGCTGATACTGACAGATGCATGATGAATGGAATCTGGTTCGATCGATCTGCTTGCACGTTGCTCCCGCAGCCCGCAGATTTCTTGTATAGGACACGGCTACACGGGCGTTTGCTCGTATTTCGTTGTAGAATAATAGTACATGCCAGTGTAGCATCTGCATAGCTCAAACTTAAATTTGGACATGACTGTTTTTCCTGCCCCTGCATATAATGATAATGAGAGTTGATTTTTTATTAGATCGTACAATGAATTATACGTCACGGGAATAGAATATCATGCCTGTTTCCATCATTAGGGATTGTACAAATTAGTGTGTTAAGAGTGGTTTGGACTTTGGAGAGATACAGCACAAAATAAAGTTTACATAAAGTTTTAAGAAGTTTTCTATATAAGACTAGTAACAAAAATTGTTTGCAACCTCCTTCCTAAATGTAGTTATTTTTAACATAGTATTTTGTCTTAAAAATAACACGCTCTCAAGATCTGTCGCCAACGTATTGCGTCTGTTTGTTCAGTCCATAGAAGCCAAATGAAATACTGGTTCGATCCCTGCAGCGTAGAATCGATTTTGGTGGATCACAAAAAGGAAAAATCTATGCAAGGCAGTGGGCTAGGTTCCCATGGCAACGTATACAACAAATATTACTTAAATGGTTATTTTCGACCTTCAAACTGTATTCGCTTTTTGCTCTGACATCTACCATCCAACTCCCACTATATGGTTTGTTCGTTTTTTCTCTCTAAATCGATTTCAACAAAACGCTGGAGGTGCTCCAAGAGCAAGTTTAATAGTACACTAGTTGTAAGCTATAATTTTATATATTTCATCTATAAATAGTTTTAGATATGATTTATACAATAGATAACTCTAATCTCTTGACTATAAAAAATATTTTACTGTACAGTAGGCCCTGCCCTCCTCCCTCTTCCTACCTTTTCTCTTTTCCCTCCAATCCTGAGGCTAGCATGGTTTCACCAATCACAAAGAGCTAGCGCTTATTTTGTCACTCGCATTCCTTCTCGCTTATCCTCTATCTTCTAATGCACCAAACAATTTGACGTGATATTTTTACAGCTAACTCCCTGACCAATACGTATGCATGTTTATAACCTGGCTGATACTCTCTCCGTTTCAAAAAATAAATCTAGTACTTAATATGATATATAATATTTAGATTCGTTATACTATAATATATTATATCTCGTTTTAGTTTTGTTTAGGGAGTTGATAACAAACTGTACTTGTGGCGGTCAGTCACCGCTCGGGACGCGGCCCTAGGGAAGGAAACGGACGTCCCCCTTATCCTATAAGCTGATCGATCAGGGAAAGAAATTTGAAAATATACTTTATTTTTTCATATTTTGCGTTTATATACCTGGCTGTGATTAATTTGTAAAAATATACCCAATCCACGGAACGGTTGCGCCGGAGCGAGGATAAACCGGCCGGTCCCGCTGGCCAGGGACGCGGTACCGCGCCGGTCCAGCGGGCTGGGTGAGCGCGGCAACGCTCCCGTATGCCGGATGTGCGGGACCGGCGCTCCCACATGCCGCCCCCCATCTCGGTTCCCGAATTAGATCCGATCTCCTATTCACGGAAAACGGAGCAGGCCATTAGCACATAATTCATTAAGTATTAGGTAATTTTTTTTTTCAAAAATGGTTTAATATGATTTTTTTTAAACAACTTTCGTATAGAAACTTTTTACAAAGAATACACCGTTTAGGAGTTTGAAAAAGCGTGCGCGTGTTGATGAAAAAATCGAACACACCGGCCTGGGAGATCTGCTTAGCTCCTGTGCAGGACCAAAGATTAATGAGATGCGGGCGTGCCAGTCAGTTTAATCCTGCAACTGACAAGATTTGCAAATAATAGATCAAACAACCGATCGGCTGACAAGCCGATGGAGTAGTTCCAGCCGATAGTCGATAATAGCCGATGCCGATACCAGCCGATAGCGATAGGGTTTAAGCAATCGGCTATATGTCCAATGTAGATAATGATATAAAGGCAATCGGGCTGATGATAATATAATATAGCAATATAATCCAATAGAAACCAATCGGCTAACAATATGAAATAGTAGAACAAATATTGATCCGAAGGTTAAAGCTCACATCGGCTGGAGGTCCGATGTCATAAGATCCACAAGATTAGATTAAACAGTGAAACCTTTGTTGCCATCGGCTAAATCCAACTTATATGTATATGCAATCCCTACAAGCCGATGCAACGTCCAGATAACTTATCGGCTAGCACCCCGATAAAACATTAGTATGAACCTATCGGCTTAACAAGACTTATATTATCAACAACAATCTAGTAGATCGAACCTAACCGATGTAGCACGAGATTGTATATGATAATCTAATACTCGATGAGCCGATAGACCTGTCTAATGTGATGGATATAACAAATCTATTTAGAACAGCATTATGATTGTAGAGATATATCGGCTAAGACAGGAGATCAGACCTAACCGAGACAGTCCCAACTAAACCGATGCGTCTCTAAACACAATGCAATTAGAGATAGAATTGAGATATCAGGTAGGCAAATATATCAACCAAACCAGAGCGATCCAAGAGATCGAATCGATGCATCCTTGAACAACACCAACGTAGCCAACAGATTCACCAGGGCCCGACAGAACGTAGGACTTACCCCTTCGCTGGAGATCGAAAGCCGATGCAGCCCTGCGTCAGGTGCCCAAGTTCCGCCGGAAGATAAGTAAAAACCTCAGGGAAGAGGGTGGCGATGTGCCGAGAGTATTATTGATCGATAGATTGATAGATTACAATGACCCCGGGTGTACATATTTATACCCATAGAGAGATACTAGTCCTTGTCGGACAAGAAAGAAACTAAAAAGGAAAAGATAAAGTCCTTATCGGACACTAAACACACTTTCCTAAAGATAAAAGGAAACTAACAAACTATGCCTAATTAATAGATAACTGTCATGTCGCATCCTTCTTGAACTCGAACTCTTCTAGATAAGCTTCCTTTGATTGATCCGACTCCACCAAGGACACGACATCGTGGCGACTTGACTCCCATCGGCTGATTCTA